GGCGGTTGTTGTCAGGAAGCTGCAACATCATTTTGCGGTATTTGCGCGCACACTCACAAAGACGAGGACACGTGTGTGGGAGTAGAGACACATGCAGCGCCAAGAAGAAAAAAGGCGCACAGGCATGGCCAGCAGGCATGCTCGTTTTTTCGTCCATGAGCAGCACATATCGGTGAGACGGCAGAATCGCAGGACAGGGCTGCTGGGATAGATGCGTGGCACTGCGCGCAGCCGCAGCAGGCCAGTCTGTTGGTAGATGCAAAGGCGCTGCCGTCAAGACGTGGTAGCTTGTTGCTGCAAACAGCCGGCGCGGCGCACGCAGAGTGCTAGTGGCAAGCTCTCGCAGCACAGAAGCGTTATCAAGGCAGGCCCAAAGACTGGGCTGTCTGGCTCGGACCCTTCCACAGCAGGCGTGTACATAAAGCGCGCGCTCCCAGATCGCAGGGCGCACAAGAAGGCGTCAAACTCAGTTGGCGCCATGTTATCGAGGCAGTTCATGCGGTGCAGCGCTGCGAGGGGCGGCAGGCCGCGAAGGCGCGGATGTTGGTCGATCCACTGTTGCATGGTAGCTTCGTCTGCACAGCGGAAAGAGTTGTCAAAGAAAGTCGGCAGGCGGATTTGTGCATGGATCTACTCGGGCGCATTCCAAGACACACGCACGTCAATGACATCGTGCGCCAAGAACCCTGCCAGCCACAGCCGTGTTGCCAGGATAAAATTTGCCAGCCACGGCGTAGTCTCGCCAGGCACGGCGTAGTCCAGAAGAGCCTGAAATGAAACCGCCGGCAGCACGGCGAGAAGCTTGTCCTTCGCCAGCGCCCGAAGCTCTTCCTGCTGCAAACTTCTCCCACCTTGTTTCCGGCTAGTCCCTGCGGTCTTGCACGCCGTCCATAAGCCCTGTCGATCCGAAGATAAACCTTCCAACAAAGCACCCGCCTGCGCAGCCGCAAGGTCTCCCAAGACACATGACCCGAGATGCTCGAATTCCGCGCGCACATCGGCAGGCGCGGCTTCCAGCAGCATCGCCAAGGTAACCTGCACGCTTTGCGCCACCAACGCGCCGGAACTGCTCGGGCTTATGCCCTCACCCGCGCGCGCAGCCGCAGACGCAGTCATGCCCTGCTCCGCCCCACCCGAAGCGTCGCTGACTGGCGTTTCTTTCAGAAATCGAACGCAGGCGCCGCGGAACTCGGAGCGCACACTTTGCGCTGCGCGTGTTCTGCCACTGGCATTTCGTATTGCGATCCCCCACACACTGCTCACTTTCCTGAGCTCATCTGCACCCGCTCCCAACGCACGAAGGAGCTCTGTCACTCTGGCCGCTTCCTGCGCCGCCACGAGGACCTCTCCGTACTCTTCCAGTTCCCTCCCCATCTCGCCAGGCACGGCGTAGTCCAGAAGAGCCTGAAATGAAACCGCCGGCAGCACGGCGAGAAGCTTGTCCTTCGCCAGCGCCCGAAGCTCTTCCTGCTGCAAACTTCTCCCACCTTGTTTCCGGCTAATCCCTGCGGTCTTGCACGCCGTCCATAGGCCCTGTCGATCCGAAGATAAACCTTCCAACAAAGCACCCGCCTGCGCAGCCGCAAGGTCTCCCAACACACATGACCCGAGATGCTCGAATTCCGCGCGCACATCGGCAGGCGCGGCTTCCAGCAGCGTCGCCAAGATTATTGCGCCCATGGCTGTTCAAGCATCACTACAAAAGGCAAGATCTGTGTGTTTGTTTCAACAGGGTGCCTGAGTTAGTGAGTTAGCTAGCTAGGTAGCTTCTTCCTTGGTTCTCGTTGTTTTGTCTCTGTATTTCTTTCTTTCTATGAATGTGGCGCTGTTGCTGTTGCTGTTGCTGTTTGGTTGTTGTTACCATCGAGAAGCCGTCGCAGCACAGAAGCACCATCCAAGCATACCCAAAGAAAGGGAAACAAGCTCGCGCGGACAGGGCGGGAATCGAGCCCGGGACCTTTCGCCGGAAACCCGTGCCGCCGGACCACGAGACAAAACCCCCACGGTCCCTGGAGCCGCCAAAAAAGCAAAGAAATCGAGTTTGTTGCGAGCCTGCGCAATCGAAACGCACTTCAACATCAAGCAAAAGCAAGAATTTGCAATAAATACCACGCGAAACACTCGCGGACAGAAGTCGACACCTCACTTTCTGCGAGCCTGCGCAGTCGAAACGCATTTCAACATCAAGCAAAAGCACGAATCTGCGGCACATACCACGCAAAACGCTCGCGGACAGAAGTCGACACCTCACTTTGTGCGAGCCTGCGCAGTCGAAACGCACTTCGACATCAAGCAAGAGCACGAATCTGCGGTACATACCACGCAAAACGCTCGCGGACAGAAGTCGACACCTCACTTTGTGCGAGCCTGCGCAGTCGAAACGCACTTCGACATCAAGCAAGAGCACGAATCTGCGGTACATACCACGCAAAACGCTCGCGGACAGAAGTCGACACCTCACTTTGTGCGAGCCTGCGCAGTCGAAACGCACTTCGACATCAAGCAAGAGCACGAATTTGCGGTAAATACCACGCAAAACGCTCGCGGACAGAGCGGGCACCTCAATCTGGCACCAAGGCCTTTTCTCTTACCGTAAGAACCCCTTAGTGTAGACACACTGTTGGGGGAAACATGGTACCCAAACAGTGGCCTTTAAAGAGGATCAGGCCCCTTTGAGCAACCCCCTTTGCAGGACTGTTTGGGGCTTGTTTTTGGATTAAAGAATTTTGATGGTGTGGCTTAGGATCAAACCAGGAATTCTTAAGCTCAGGTCTTGGCCTGGTCCCTTGCTAAGCTTTTAGATTTGGAGCCCCTTTTAGAAGAAAGAGGCTAAGATCTGACCTGGAGATTCCTAACCCACCCACCCCTAAGACTGGACATTAAGCATGGTACCCACCCTTTAAGTAAAGAATTTTGATGGTTGGGGCTTAGGGTCAAACAGGAATTCTTAAGCTCAGGTCTTGGCCTGGTCCCTTGCTAAGCTTTTAGATTTGGTTTTAAGATCCTAACCCACCCACCCCTAAGACTGGACATTAAACATGGTACCCCCACCCCCTTTGCAGGACTGTTTAGGGCGGATTTAAGTAAAGAATTTTGATGGTTGGGGCTTAGGATCAAATCAGGAATTCTTAAGCTCAGGTCTTGGCCTGGTCCCTTGCTAAGCTTTTAGATTTGGAGCCCCTTTTAAAAGAAAGAGGCTGAGATCTGACCTGGAGATCCTAACCCACCCACCCCTAAGACTGGACATTGTGCCCCTTAAAAGAGGGTCAGGCCCCTTGTGGGCAACCCCCTTTGCAGGACTGTTTGGGGCTTGTTTTTGGTTGGATTTAAGTAAAGAATTTGGATGGTTGGGGCTTAGGATCAAATCAGGAGTTGTTAGGCTCAAGTCTTGGCCTGGTCCCTTGCCAAGCTTTTAGATTTTGAGGCCCACAGCGTCTCATGTTGAGCAACCAAAGATTTGCAGAGTTTCACTACTGGGACTGAGCCGGGAAGCTGAGAGGAGAAATCACTCGGAATCCCCTCTTTGGGCCCTGCGCACTCACTAATGGCGAAGCACGATAACATTGCATGGTTGCTATGAATTTGTTTGATTTCTACATATGGTGCATCTGTTTGCTTTTTGTTGATGTTTTTCTTCACACAAAAATACAACCCTCGTTTGGGCATCATGCCGCCAACATGGTGCTGGAAAACTGCCATTGCTCCTGTCTCCTAAGGCCTGGAATGAACGTGCCGCTGAGTCCGCCCAAAACGGAGATCTCAAGCCACTGCCACTTGGATTGAGCTTGAGTTGGGGTACATGCAGCCATAGGGCCCAGGATCAGGGTGGCTTGGGACCGACGTGTGTCTAGCGCCCTTTCGCTTTGGCTTTGCACATCAAACAAAAGGGGTGCGGTGTACTATTTGGGACGATTCCTCGTTTTTTCGCAGAGCCATTCTGTTCACCCCTCATGGTCTCCCATGTGCAAACAGGTTAACGGACTCTAGGTGGGCGTTAGCTGCTAGGGCTGGCAGGGCTATTTGGGATGTTTAGATCACCAGCCATGATTACCTGAGGACGAATACCGTTTGAGGATCATGTGTTGCTGTTCCTGGTGCAGTCTCAGTAAGACCCGCAAAACAAACAGCTTATTGACTTGGCTCTTGTGTGTGTGTGTGTGTGTTGTGTGTGCGTCTGTGTGTGTGTTGTGTGCGTCTGTGTGTGTGTTGTGCGTGTGTGCTGTGTGTGTGTTGTGTGTGTGTGTGTTGTGTGTTGTGTGTGGTGTGTGTGTGTTGTGTGTGTGTGTTGTGTGTGTTGTGTGTGTGTGTTGTGTTTGTGGTGTGTGTGGTGTGTGTGTGTGTGGTGTGTGTGTGTGTGTGTGGTGTGTGTGTGGGTGCGTGGGTGTGTGTGTGTGGTGTGTGTGTGGGTGCGTGGGTGCAAGGGTGCGTGGGTGCGTGGGTGCGTGGGTGCGTGGGTGCGTGGGTGCGTGCGTGCGTGCGTGCGTGCGTGCATGCGTGCATGTGTGTGTGTGTGTGTGTGTGTGTGTGTGTGTGTGTGTGTGTGTGTGTGTGTGTGTGTGTGTGTGTGTGTGTGTGTGTGTGTGTGTGTGTGTGTGTGTGTGTGTGTGTGTTGTGGTGTGTTGTGGTGTGTTGTGGTGTGTTGTGGTGTGTTGTGGTGTGTTGTGGTGTGTGTGTGGTGTGTGTGTGTGTGTGTGTGTGTGTGTGGTGTGTGTGTGTGTGTGTGTGTGTGTGTGTGTGTGTGTGTGTGTGTGTGGTGTGTGTGTGTGTGTGTGGTGTGTGTGTGTGTGTGTGTGTGTGTGTGTGTGTGTGTGTGTGTGTGTGTGTGTGCGCGTGTGCGTGTGCATGTTGTCTAGGCTACACAAGATCATAACTAGATCATAACTAAATGAGCATTTCCATGTCTAACAGTTTTCTCAGCATGCTTAGTCTGCAGAAACTGAGGTGAAGAATTCGCCACGAAAGTGCCGTATGCAAGACCGCAAGGTGTGGCCGCGAAAGCATCTCATAAGGTTTCGCGGAAGTAGATTGTTAGTAGCCAGGTTGTCGGCACTGCTCGAATTAAGATTGAATGATATAGTATAAGAGCCTGAATGGCCACGTGCATCTACCGTATCATCACGTTGTTTGTTTTCTTTCTAAGTTTCCCACAACTAAGCTTATTGGTCCCATTCCAGCAATTCCGCGTCCCATACCCAAAACAACCCTTTAAAGACTGTGGTAACTGTCAAAGGCCCGCTTGGCCCAACATTCTGAACGGCCGATTCTCTGAGGCCGCGACCCAGCGCGCTCGGCTGTGTCCGAAAAGAGTCCTTGATGAGCAGTTTGTTTGCATCACCGAAATGGGGAACCAGAATACTTCAGTTTGTAAAACCGAACTCTGGCCAGTTGAGAGAACCTGACGAAGTTTTGCTTCAACAGCTCGGCCGTAAATCCAGGCTTTGGCCCTCTCAGGGAAGCCATTGTGAGGCTGCTCAACTGATTTGGTGGTGGGTGGAAGACTAGAGAGCCTCTTTGAACAGTTTTTTGGCAGGCACGCAGGTGTTCACATTTTTCATTCGTGAAGGCAGTCAGGTTCAAACAACGCTGGCACAGTTGGCAGACAAGCGCCATGCCGGACGCATGTGTGAAATGTCCGCAAGCTGGGACTCTAAATGCAGGTATTGTTTCTCCAGTTTCTTGGTGGGAGGTGCACAAGAGTCGGCATGCACGAGCAACAGACCCAACCCCACATTTGATGGACGCCTACTTCGATCACCTTTTTAAACTCGTACTTGTAGATGTAAGTGGAGCCGTGCTCACATGCGATTGGTGCACAATATTAGGAGCGACAAGCCACGCCTCTCATCCGCCCGGCTATTTGAACCTGGGTCCATGAACCTGAGTGGTTCACTATGATCCCGGAAAGTTGCCAGCGTTCTGTTTCAATCACCATCGAAAGGTGGTCCCAAGGTTACTACATTCTCACCATCAAAACGATCCACTGGATTCATTGCACTCATAGGCTAGCCGTTTGCAGGGTCAAACACATGCCCGTTTTGGTTGCCGTTGGTAGCAGAAATGGGTACAGCACGAAGTGTTTGTTTCAGACCGCCCAAATGTCCTTTACTTCAAGTTTTTGTCAACTTGGACGACAACCGCATGTTAGATTTGGAGAATGCATAACTTCACTGCACTCGCAGCGAGTGCCCCGCACCAGTAATGACAGCCCACGCCATGGGAGAAGCGCAGGCGGGTCGATCGGGACTGTTCTGCCGACCAGCGGACTAATGAGCGATGCTGGAGAAACTGCTGGATTACACAGGGATGTGTTTAGACCTTCCAGCAACGGCTCTTCTGATGTCAATCGTATGCTTTTCAAAGTTAGGGTTCCCTTTTCGGCTACTGTAGTCATTGAAAGCACACAAAGTCAAGTCAAACCAACTTCTATTTTCGGACAGTCTTTGTTGCTTGTCTGGTCTCTGCTTTTGCCATTCGTACTCAAGACACTCGCCTTTTATGTCGCTTTGGGCTTTTCAGCTCTCCGACTCCTCAGCAACCCAACTTCTTGGGGTTGCTTCCAGAATCCCATCATGACTTCACCAGCCCCAAGCAAGCAATGCAATGGCTTCGACATGCTGCTGATCAGTCTCGTACAGAATTTGGGGAAATTTATATTTTCACAAGCATATTTTCAGTTGAAGTGGAACACGTTGCAATGGTCGGAGTTTGCACGTGCGCGCGTGACATGGGCTTTGATCATGACACAATTTGGCCAATGTTGGTTGACATGCCGGTGTTTGCCATGTTTGGCGATCTACAGGACTCCACCCCCCCCTCCCTGAACCCCCATCTCCCCAGCTTCCCCAAGAAACTTCTATGAAGCTCAGTTGCAAAGCCCATTTTCTCAGCCAGCGCAAAGTGCAAAGGTCTCAGGAGGCCATTTACTTTAGTCACGCTCATTGCCTGCTATGTGATGGCATCAATGCTCAAGTGATGCAGCTTGACATGCACAGGTCGCCGTGAGAAGCTGCCAAATGCTTGTCTCCTTTGGATAATGCGGAAGTTATTCGGGTTGGACAACATTTGTGCTTAAAGAACCAGCCCTGGTCCCTGTCATAGGGGAACCAAAAGGAGGTGGCTTAATTACTGTACATGTTTATGCAGAGGCTGACCCAAACCATGCTTGTCCTTTTACTGTCTAGTCCTCACTGACGTCTCTCACTGACGTCTCTCCTGAGTAGGTTGGAGTGGTTCCTCTTTAGCAGGGAATCCACCGTTTTATGGGCTCGAGCACCTCTGACTCGTACAGTATTCTCCGAAGTGGACATGAATGCGATGAGGGCGATACAGGGATACGAAGTTTCTGGCTTTTGCCATGGATTTTGACATTTGCTTGTTTGTTTGTGTTTAAGAAGATCGTACCAACCGCTCCTTTTGACCTCACTTTTCTATTCTAGGGGAGACTTCCACGGTCTCTCCAGCAGATTGTTAGTTTCAGCACCAACAACCTAGGCAAAAGGAGCTTGTTTGCAAAGGGTGGTAAGGAACCAACAAAGCTCCTCGCTTTACAAACATGCCACAAAGTTGGACAGGTGAAGCTGTCCTTGAGGCCATCCAAATGGGGGCTCCACCCCAATTTTGAGACGTAAAGAGGACATGCCCAACTAAATGTGTGTCATCAACCAGACCTTGGCCCCTCAAAAGGGCAAACCAACAGGAGGAGGCGTACTCTCCAGTAAAATGATGATGGAGCCCAAGAAAGGAGGTCCTCTCCCAGGCTGCAGAATATAGATTGACCTATGTCTCAGGTTCCGGAACTTTGTTCAATCAGTCTGGCTCATTTGCTCCTGCCGTTCTGAAACAAAAATAGCATTCGTCCTACTTCAGCCATCCATGTGTGGTTCTTCAAAAGCGGCCCTTGCCGCTTGTTTGTTTCTTCAAGCGCTGTCCGCGTTCCTTCGCTTGGCAGGTGCTCTGCACGTCTTTGCTTGTGTGGTCCTGTTTGTCCCACCTGTTTGTTTGAGGTTGCAGAAAGCATTCCACCAGCCCCCCCAAAGAAAAAGAGAAAAGCTGTCAAGTGGCCCCCAGTTTTCCAGAGGGGTAGTACTGTACTGGGTTAAACATAAGCTGAGTCACTGCTCGAATTCCTTTCACCGTGTTAGGCCATCGGTTTGAGCTTGCTGAAGGACAGAGGCGAGCAGCTTCATTCGAGTATTGCGAACTTGGTTATTTTGATCAACAATTTATGCTTCTTAGGTGCAAAGACTCTATCCGGTGAACCGTGGGTCGAATTAACAAGCGCAATCCATTCGGCAGGAGTGGGACGGTCAATTATCACACCCTCTTGAACTTATGATACGAAAGGGCTTCCCGTTTCCAAAAGGTCTCACCGTGTAGGACTCTAGGGGAGAAGGGCTGTCGTGTTGAACCTCAAGAAGGGCAATTGCTCGGCCGGTGCAATCCGGAGGTCCCAAAAGCTGAGCTTTTGGCTTCGGTTCTCCTTTCTGGTTTATGTTTGATCAGGTCCCAAAAGGGTAAGCTTGCAGGCCCGTTTGGGCAGGAGAGCCAATCCAAGGACTCCCACAAGAATTGTTTGATTCCTTCACTGAAAGAAAGGGCTTCCCCCCTTCCGGCATGGTCCCCCTTGTGATAAATTCCAGTTTCCGATTACCTACTGGTGTGAGGTGTTGGTTTGCAACAAATTCACGCCGCCCGGCATTTCTAGTCAGCCATTCTTGGTTCATTCAGTGAGACCAAGGCGGCTAAACGGCAGGGATTCCGACACCTGGGATTGCACCTTGGGAAATGGGTTGCCCAGACCCTGAGATATTGCCCCAGAACATTATGGGGTGATTTCCTATTTTGCGGGGTAGTTGAGCGGGACTTTACATTGAGGACAGGTCGGTACCACACCTTTGCGAGTCTCAATAATCATTATTTGGAGGGCAAAGTTGGAGGAATTTCCAGGTAGTTATCTTGATGGCAGCCTGGGAAATTTCCCAGGTTCGGTGACAATCCCAGGGCAAGCCACTAGATCGGCCTGTTGAGTTGGCCAAAATTGACGATGTTGTTCCAATGCTTTGCGCATTGCTAGCTCAACTTTTTCTGGCCTGTCAACTCAACAGGTCAGTAGAGATGGGGCAAGTGCCAGCCCATGCAACGGTGGACTTTTGGGAGTACGAGCACTCTCAAGATCAGTGGTGTCCATTTGTAGCGGAGCACCAGCTGCTGCTGCGGCTTGGTGCAGAGCAGATGTTCAAGAGCGTTGTTTGTTGTGCGCTTCAAATCATAAAGGGGCTTCCCATGCGTTTGGCCTGCAGATTTGGTTGTTTGTTGTGTCTTTTATATTCTGGTTGTCTAGTTCAGGATTCTCAGTCCAGACAAGGCTGTGTAATTATGTGCAGTACAATGCAGGGGTGGCAGATTCCTCCAAGCTTTGCCTTAAGCTCGGCCGGGCTGAGTACGATGTGGACATAGAGGCTATGATGCAGACAAATCTGAAAACCCAGACGCAGCGCCCGATCCGCATCAAGCAACTTGATGTGGCTAATTTTGTTGCAACCAGGCTTGGCACAAGTGCAATTGCAGGATTGCAAGCTTTGCAGCCTGATATGCAGACCAGAGACACAGAGCTACAGTTGCAGGCACTCAAGAGCATTGAGCGGAATCTGGAGATGCAGGTAGTCTCAGCCAAGCAGCACGTTTCAGACTTGCAGGCGGAGAATGAGGCACAGTTGGGTCGAATCCAGCTGTTGACTGAGGAGAGCGATGTTCTGAAATTGCAGCTCCAAGCTGCTGACAGGCAATCCCCATTTTTGCAGTCAGAGGAGGACAATCAACAAGAGTCACAGCTTCGTTCAGCACAGCAGCGTATTTCAGATCTGCAAGTTGAAAATGACTTGCAGTTGGGCAAGATCAATGTCTTGACGCAGGAAAGGGATGACTTGAAGTTGCAGCTGCAATCTGCCAATCAGAAAGCCACGGATTTGCAGAAAGAGAGCACAAAGGCGTTATTTGTCAAGAGTTCGAACAAGGAGAAGAATGACGTGAGGGTGCAGCTTCGAAATGCCAATCAGAGGTCCATGGCATTGCAGTCTGAGAACGAGCATTCCTGGCGCCGCATCAAGAGCTTGGTTCAGGAAAAGGACCAGATGCAGTCGCGGCTGCAATCAGCCAACCAGCAGGTTGAGGATTTGCAGAATGAGATCGGGGCATCGCACTTGCAGGCTGAGAAGTTGCAGGCTGACGTTAAAAAACAACGGCTTACAAATGAGACGCTGACAAGCATCAATCATTCGCTGGGATCAAAGCTTGCAGAGGCAGAATCGGCTGCGTGTATGGTCAAGCAACAGCTCAAAGTGGATGACCTAAAGTCGCAACTTGCAAAAGCAGAAGCAAGGCTGACGGAAGCCCGTAGCCTGCAACCAAAGCTTGCAGGGGCAGAAACAAAGCTGGCGGAAGCCCATGGAAAACTCGCAGAGGCAGAAGCAAAAGTGCCCGAGATGCACGGAGTGTGAAATGAGTGTGGTTTGTCGAGTATGCTTGGTAAACAAGTGCAACAACTGAAGCCTCATAATGTGTATGTCCATTGACTATTTAGTGTGCGTGTGAATGTGTATAAATGAGAGTCGTCCGAAAGGTCCTTGTATTGAGCTATGAAGGGGAAGACCTTTTGGTCTTAGCGTTGACCTTCGCGAAAGTTCCGCGAAGGGGGTCGCAAAAGTTAATTTGTTTTCCGCGAAAGTTTTTTGTGGCTTGCTTTGGTCGGAGAATGCGCAGCCTGAGGGTCACCACAAGAGTACGCCGCTGCAAAAGCAACCCCCAGCCAGCAGAAATCAGCTTCTGGGAGTTTTGGAGCTGTCGGGGCAAGCTGAGCGCAGCTTCCAGCCGGATTGGCGTAAGATCCGCGAAAGTTTCGCGAAAGTCGACGGACCTCCCCGCCAGTTTCCGGACACGAGGCCAATCGGGTCCTCTCGCGCGTAGCTCACGGCTTCTGAGCTGGAGCTGCGGAAGCGCGCATCGCGTGCTACTTTGGAACTGAAAGGTCGCGACTTTTGAGCTGGGGCTGCGGAAGTTCACTTTGTGTACTACTTTCGTATTGAAAAGTTCTGACTTTCGAGGCTGAGGGAGTTTAGCTCGTGTACTACTTTCGTATTCAAGCCGGGCTGCGGAAGTTTACTTTTAGTACTACTTTCGCACTGAAGATCTGCGACTTTCGAGCTGGGGCTGCGAAAGTGTACTTCGTGTGCTACTTTTATGATGAATGTTCTGAAAACAGCCCCGCGAAAGTTCCGCGATGGGGTCCGCGAAAGTTAACTTTTTTCTCGCGAAGATGGCGGTTTCCGGAACAAGGAATTTCAGACAACCGTCAAATGTGAATGTGGCTTCAGCGTGCGGAGGGTCACCATTGCTATTCTAGAACAGATCTCGTTTGTGGATGCTTTCAAAGCATGACATTCACGGTTTGGGCGGGGGGTCGTTTCAGACCTGCCTGTTGTGCAATGCACAAGTGCGTTCAGCAGTGGCCGTTGTTAGGATAATTTTGGGCAGTGGGTGGTGATGCTGGCGATGCTTCTTGCCTTCTGCAGGCAGTCAAACTGGTGGCCCTTTTCTCCTCAGCAAGCTTTTGTTGGAAGCGGCAATCGGACAGTTTCTGCCACCTTGCGTCCGTACTTCAACTATTTAAACGAGGCACTTCAGCAACAAGCCTGGACCATAGAGTGGCAGGGGCCAGAAGCATATAAAGAAACGGTTGTTAATTTCAACTCAATTTGGGCATCGGGTGCGTTTACCCTGGCCTGCCACATCGTTGATGTGTTGTTTTGTACCATCGTATCCATTTTGTGGGTTGTTTTCAAGAGACGCCAATGGGACACTATCAATTTGCCCTCGAGACAAACACGTGGTCTTTTCTTGGAGCTCACATTACGGGCAGACATTGCCGCTCAGGTACGACGCCTTTTCGAGCACCTGCTTGTTCAGCAGTTGGATGATGCTAATTCTGGTACAGACTCCTTTGACAACATGGGTTTGAGAGGTGGTATTGTAGGTCTAAGCAGTCTAGGGCTGAGAGTCTATGTAAAGTCCTTGGTTGCTGAAGACCCAGTGTTCCAGGCAGTTCAAGACTTTGCAACTCGCACGCTTGTGCAGCATCGACGCTCTTACAAGTCCAGTGAGTGGTGCCCTCCGGGGAAGCTATGCAACTTTCATATTGAGCGCTTACACAATAGCAGGCTGGAACATGAATACCGATCAGCAGCCAAGAGCCGCCAGTCAACAAGACGTCTTCGGGGCCGCGTCGATCCAATTTCCGACTTGGTGGCTGATGGATCAACCAGGCCTTTTTTCGAGCTTGAAGCACTGCAATCACTGCAGTCAAGCCTCAACGAGGTCCTCCTCTTCCATGGATCAACACCTGAAATCATTGAGCAAATCAGGCACGAAGGCTTCGACCCGCAGAGAGCCGGCAATCGTTTTGGAACAATGTACGGCCGCGGCACCTACTTTGCGCGGAACTTGTCCAAATGCGATTTCTACACTGGACGAGAGCGCCAACGACAGGTTTTGCTCAGCCGCGTCCTGCTGGGTCGTCCGTACCTGGCTGACACGGTGCTTGGGGAACAGGTCAGGAGACCTCCTAGGAGACCGTCGGGTGAGGAATGTGATTCGGTTATGGCCTTGGCTAGTTGCGAGGGCGGAATTGTGGACCACCGCGAGTACGTGATCTTCGAGCGCTCGCGCGCCTTGCCACTGTTTCGGATCACCTACGAACATGAGGCAGATTGTGAATGCCACATTTGCTCTTATCCGAAATGAGGATAACATGCGAGAATGTGACTACTGAATGTGGCTTGTCTCCGCGGCTTAATCAATTACGCAGGTATTTTGATTGCACGTGTGTCAGAGAAACAAAGCAGAAGGGACTTGGGCGGACAGAGCTGGGGAAGGTGCTGGAGGCAGCAATTCGGAAGAAACAGGTGCCACAACTGGCCTAGTAGGCTTGAGCAAGCCGCAGCCGCTGCATAGTATGGACACCACGAGATCGATTTGGCTAATGATTGGGCCATTTCCTCTCAGCATTTGGGTTGAAAGAGTGAAGCAACACAACAGTTTGCCACGTAATCTTCCTCTTCGTTTGGCATTTGAGATCTTCCGCAGTTGTGCCAGGGCTGAGAAGCAACCAGCTCTCACACGGTCTTGGCATTTAGATGGGCTCCGAAGAAATCACTGAAAAGTAACATGGTTCTATAGGGGCAAATGCATGCCACTGAGCCAAGATCCACATTGCGAGGCCAGGTCGGGCTGGCGGAAAGCCACATTTTGGTGGACAGCCAGGACTGAATTGGGGTCACCAGGGCCTTTTGCGCTGCGAGCTCACAGAAGAACGAGCGATTCCGGGCATGATGAGAAAAGTTGTGTTTCTTGAAGGTCGGAGCTATTACAACCCTTTCCCCCTAGAACTTTGCTAGGAAGAGGCCTACGGGGGTGCGCGTGGTCAATTTGGGACCCGGACAGCCTTTCATTATTATAAGTTTAAAACGGTGTGATACTTGACCGTTCCACGCCTGCTACACAAACCGCAGTTGTTAATTCGATCCGCGGCTGACCGGGTAGTGTCTTTTCAAAACAGCCAAGAAGCGTAAACTTTTGTCGGACTGAAGTATGGGCGAATTATATTGAATAATGCATATTTATGTGCCACAATTTGAGCATTTTGAGGGCTGTGGCAAGCCTGCTTGCGGTGCGTGGGCGCATTTGGGGATGTTCACTGCGACCGCTCAAGGGCGCAGGGCGGGAAGTCGCCCAGCCGCCAGGAGTTTCTATACATCGTTTCAGCGGGAAGGGGCGAAGTCAGCCGGAAAAGGCCCAAACAAGCGCGAATCAAGGAGCAAGGGTTTGCAAAATGTGCTTGAATGTGGGATGGACATGTTGTTCGCAACAACGCAGCTCACGGGAGGTTGTTTAAACAGACATTTTGGTGGTGAAGGGATGGTTTTTTGAGAAATCCGGTGGTGCGCGGCATTGGCTACAGAAAACTGGCCCAACATCGTTTCAAGGGAGCCGAAGAGGCTATGTTGGTTCGCGTGGTGTTGCGAACCATTTGGAACCAAACCCTGGCCTCCTTGAAGGCGTAGAGGGAAATTGTAAAGCCGAGGGAAACCAAACAGCTGTTTGCATTTTGTAAAAGAGGACTCTGGCCCGGGAAGCCAGGAACTTGCGCCAGCTTGGCTGCAGACTCTGCCCCTTTTAAAGGAAAGCAAGGAAGTTGCTTGAACAGTTGGTTTGCACAACTTGCATCTGGTGGTCATACTATGGCTATGAACCTTCAATAAGGATCCAAGATGGGTTCCAGCATCCCCACACCATCCCCACACCGCTACCCCCAGGGAAAATTGGGCTATATACTATGAACCCTTTGTATAATGGCTACAACGTGGTTGTATATCCTTTGGGGGTAGTGGTTTGGCGGGTAGTGGAAACCATCGTAGAGAAGAAGCACCTCCACAGTGGTGGACATGAATGCCCATATTACTCAAAACTCCTTGAGGAAAATCCATGCCCACATGTCTGCCCAACCAGGCCCTGACCTTCTTGGGGTATGCAGGTGTCCAGATGCTCCACGGGCGCAGCAGTCAGGTTCAAGCGATCCCGCACAGTGGCACATTGGCGCCATGCCAGACCCATTTGTTTCATGTACGCAAGCCAGGCCTCCTTCAACCAATCTGTGTGAACCTATGGTTGTACATACCCTAGGGCATAGCTGTGCTACGCAAGTGCCACATGTGTGCGAGCTCAGTGGCTCCAGCTATCTTATGTTTGAATTAGATCCCTGCAAACTGCCGGTTTTGTTTCCCAAGGGAGCTCCAAGGTTAGGACACCCGGTCAAGACAATTCAGTGGATCAACCGGACCCTGCCAGCATCCGCTGGACCCTCGTAGGGCACCCTTAGGCCAACCCTTCAGGGTGTGAAAGCCGTTGCCTCGTCAGGAGTCCGTATTTCTGAGCTCAGACCGCCTAAAATGTAGTTTATTTAAAGCTTTGGTCAACTTGGGCAAACTGCAAATTATGTTGGATTTATGGTTCATAAGCCATTCAATGCACAATTTGGCCAGCTGGCGGCAAATTCTCGCCGCAACGTTCGAAGTGACAGCTCGCGCCATGGGACGAGCGCAGGTGGGTCGATCGGCACTGTTCCACTGGTCATGGGCTTTTTCATGGGCCTTGCTGGAAGCCTTGGGCTAAAGAGGGATGTGTTTTCCAGGAACCGATCCGATGATGTCAAGCATATGTTTCTCATTGTTTTGTGGTTGGTCATTGAAGGCAAACAAAGTGAAACCTACAACTTGAAGGTGTCGTCGGACACGCTAGTTGCCTTGGTCGCTATTCCCGGGCCGATTTGCTAGTGTTAGGTTTGTGCTATTCGGCTTCAACTTGGCTTGTCATGCGACCGTGCGTGTCGTTGAGTGACATGAAGGTATTCAGGTGTTTGTTCTTTGGCCTGCTCAAGCTGTCCTTGGAACCAAGTCCGAAACACCTTAAGGCCTTCATGGCTTCACCTGTCCTTCAAGAACCTCGACATGCTGCTGAAGAGTCTCGCAAAGACAATCTCTTGAAGAGCTGGCAGTTGCACAGTAGCTTCCATTCATGGTTGCTTCCAGTGAGGGCATTTCAATTAGGAGGTGTAGCTCTATGTGGCCATTCCTAAACAAGAAAGCTCGAAAGCCTTCGGACTGGACATAATCGTGCTTATTCTGCAGGAGTTGGAGTATGCTGCAGTGGGCAAGAGAGTTTGGTGCAATTCTTGTGAGAGTTGTGCACTGATAAAAACATGACGAGAGAGGCTTTACATTGGCTTATGCTGGCCAATGTTGATTGGCCGACAGGCCCTACTATATGCGATGTTCACCCCCCCCCCCCCCCGCACCGGCCTGTGGTGGAAGACAGCCTAGTCTTTGCTGCTCGATACACAGAAAACTTGATTTGTATAGACTAATAGATGTCAAAGCCAGGGAGCTCTTGGGTTTGCTGACAACAATATGACACAAGCCATTATCAAATCCGACACGCAGGGGGCATTTCAAGATAGAGCCGTATGTGTCCTTTTGATTTCTTTAGAATGGTGTCCCCACTTTTTTTTGACATGTGAGATGACCGGCCTATTGATTTGGCCCCTTCCCAGTGGATGCCAAGCATGTTCCGTCGCAGGCTGCCATGGCTCGCTTTGCAGCGCGCCAAGGACGGGGAAATCTCCAGCTGTGTGGCCTGTTGGTGCTGTTCCTTGCTACTAACCCTTAACCCTATGCAGAGGGTTTGATCCTGGATGATCCGGCATAGGGATGTGTTGTTTTTCATTTCCTTTGGCGAGGAACTCTCATTGTGGGGGTGTTTGAGGTATCGCCCTTTCTCTTCTGGGGGTTTCAGGGATCGCCTTTCGTTCGGCGGACGGATTTCCAAAGCAATACCAGGGCATTGCCGCGTCAATGTGTGGGGTCATAAGGACACTCGGGAAATTGCATGTTGTGTCGCTTGATATGTTCAGTCTTCCAGTGTTGCTCCGGTCTCTTTCTTGCTGCCTCCCCAGCTTTGCTGTGCCCAGCCACCACTTGTAAATCTACAGGAAACTCAGGAAACGTTTATTGATAAACTGCAGCTCATGGGAAGTGGACATCAACCTCTTACCCAATGGTTCCATGTATCTGTATAGTAGGCAAGCTAGTAAATCAACTTGTTGTTCCAAAGGAGCATTGATGATTTGGGTCACTGAGTGACACTGAGTCAGGTGGGGTGTTAGGTAATCCGTTGTGGGAGGGTCAGTTTGGAGGCAATGAGGTTCACGCTGCGTGAGCGTCGACCCCTGCAAGTCGTGATCGGGGCGGAAGCCGAAAGCTGGTCCGACAGCCTTGCAACAGGAGCCATCGGTTTTCGGAGGCCGGGCTGCTGGGCATTGTGTGTGTGTGTTTTGTGTCCACAATCCCCGGATCTGGAGTGCTGGCCCCGTTTTTCCTGCTCCGGTGTTTTAGAGGGGGTCTAAAGTTGAAATCAGCGGTACAAAACATGCACGAAGCCGCTGCGCTTAAGAATAGGGGAGTAGTGGAGTAGTCGCTTATTCGGAGTTTCCCACCGCAAGACTGCTGTTGACCCCTGTTTCGCCTTGGGGTTTGTGGGCCCAACACACAGATTGGGAGTCGAAAAACGGAAATGGCACTGCTCGGATCCTTTGGGCTGCGCCAGTGGATCTCCAGGCAGTCAACGGCCCGCGAGCTGCCCTGGGGCCCAGCACGCGCGTGTAGGCGTATTCCCGTCGGATGAATTGGGGAACTGCTTTGGGTGGGTTATGTTATGACATTATGACTCGTGTTGGGTTGAGATTGGCCATAGTCTTGGGACATGGGGGTGACCCTCTTGGTTGTTGCGGGATGGGTTACTGTCCAAAGCCTTGTGACCCCTCAAAGAAGGAGCACAGACAATCTGGGGCGCGGGATTTGGGAGTATACCGATGCTCATGTTTGCGCTGCTGCGAGCACTTGGGGGAGGGGCTGCAACACTAAACCACAGCTTGTGGCTTCCTTTAGCGAGCATCGTGAATTGATAGCTGGGCCAGCATCTGCAAGAAACTGGGCAGTCAACCGGAAAGACTGAAGGTGCGTGTGTCAGCAGTCAACTGAAATGAGCAATCCCCAAGTCAACTTTGAGTGCAGCTTTTGCCCTATGCACATTGTCGAGCTGCACAATCACAATGTATCACAATGCACTCAAAGCTGGCAACCGATTTGTTTGTTGCAAGCTGACCCAGAGCTGACCTGAACCAGAATCTCCCCAAGAGTCCGCAGAACAATTGCGTTCGACGTATTCTCCATGGCCTAGCTCAAAGTATCACCAAACCTTTACTTGCGCAGCGCCAGGTTGATGGTGGCGCAAATTGTCAGCAACCACTGTTGCTTGCCATGAACGAGCCCGGATCAACTCAGGCTTTCTGCATCAGTTATATTCCACTTGCAACTCGCATATTGGTCCCTGGCCCAAAATGAGGCGCAAGTTGAATCCAACACGAGAATCCTGAGGTACAAGGCGCACGTGAGGTCCGAAAGTGGTGGCGGTAGCCCCGCATTCTTCGAAGGTACTGAATAGCGATAGCATAGATAGCAAATATTGACTGATTGACAACAGCCGATTCATGCCAATTCAAACTCAAAATACATAAGCTTTTCTTTTGCGACAGCGGCGTTCGTTCCCCTTGAATTACAAGGAAAGTCTTCACAAGAGTGATGTCCTGAAATCGGTGACCGAAAACCAAACCCAAAGGAAGCCCATCAGTCCAGTGCAGTCCAGTAGACCCACTGCAGCCCATCGCGTCCACCAGTCAAGTAGACCCCCACGCGATTAAGCGGAAGGCTTCTGAGGCCTCTTCTGCCCTACCCGCAGCTTTGCTACGATATGGACGCTTTTGCCAGGCGGCTAGGCGCGCCTTTTGGCGGGGAGTTGTCTTGAAAGCTTGCAAGGCTAGGGAGGGCCAGAAGCTCCTCAACATGGTGAGCTGTGGAGTGGGAGTCCACCCGTGCCACACGTTTTGCAGGCTTTGTTTTTGCATGTTCCCTTGGTTGATGCAGTTGATCGGGCTGGCTGGTGGAGTATCGGAGATAGGAGCGATCCCCCACTGATGCCCTCCAAATGCGCCATGCCAGCTCCCTGCCCTTCTCAACCCAGCGGTCCCTATATTTCCCCTTCCAGCCTGTTAAAGCATCAGACTCACCTTTCAGCCACTTTTAGATAATTTTGCTCTTGGGGTGAGGTTCAAGGGGAAATATAGGGAACCCTGTAACCTTCCAACCCTTCCGACACGACTGGCCAACACGCCCACAGTCCACCACCCCTCTCATTGGCCATTTTGGTAGGTGGCTTTACTACTTGGTCTTATGATGTAATAGGGCCAAATAGACCACAACCATTCTGCAAGCCAATTACTCACTGGTTCTCATCAGGGAATGAGGGAATGACCCCTAAACCATCCCTTCTGGTTCTGCGGATCCCCTTCCGGTTCATTCCCAACACCCCTATTCCCTAACGACGAGCAAGTCAACCCCTGTGGAAGCAATTCCTGAAGACCGGAAGCTGCCAAGTATATTACAATCGTTGGGCCAGTTCAGACCAAAGGGCATGACATGCCAGTGTTTGATCAGGCGATGTATGCCGCGTAGGAGATGGAGGCGGGAGAGGAGAGAGAGCAGCGTGAGGGCATGACTAAGTCTGGAATCGCCCACAGCAATAATGTTGAACACGTATGTTTCATATATATATATATATGTAAATATATATATATATATATATACATGGTACAGCGTTGCCAGTCCCCCGCCCCCCCCAATGGTCATGGGTCAGAGAATTACCCCCCCCCCCCCCTGTGGTTGTGGTCCTGTGGTTGGGCTGCGGTGGTTTAGGGTTGGTTTAGGGTTGGTTTAGGGTTGGTTTAGGGTTGGTTTAGAATTGGTTTAGGGTGTATTTAGGGTGCATTTATGGTTAGTTCAGGGTTAGTTTAGGGTTGGTTTATGTTGATTTAGGATTGGTTTAGGGTTGGTTTAGGTTTAGGGTTTATGGTTTAGGGTTTGGTTTGGGGTGTATTTGATTTAGGTTTAGGGTTTATTGTTTAGGGTTTGGTTTAGGGTGTATTTAGGGTTGGTTTAGGGTTGGTTTATGTTGATTTAGGATTGGTTTAGGGTTGGTTTAGGGTGTATTTAGGGTTGGTTTGGGGTTGGTTTACGTTGATTTAGGATTGGTTTAGGGTTGGTTTAGGTTTAGACGTTTACGGTTTAGGGTTTGGTTTAGGGTTTGGTTTAGGGTGTATTTAGGGTTGGTTTAGGGTTAGTTTAGGGTTGGTTTATGGTTGGTTGCGGGTTGTCTTGTCTTGGGGGTGGGGGTGCCGGGGTGTCGAGGTGCGAGTTCAGGGAGTCAGGGTGGGGGTGGGACCGTAGGTGCCAGGATCCCGTGGGGGGGGGGGATCCTGGGGGACCCATACCATCTGGGGGGGGGGTAGCAACGCAACACGGAACACGGGACCATGTACATATACATATGGATGGATGGATGGATGGATGGATGGATGGATGGATGGATGGATGGATGGATGGATGGATGGATGGATGGATGGATGGATGGATGGATGGATGGATGGATGGATGGATGGATGGATGGATGGATGGATGGATGGATGGATGGATGGATGCATGCATGCATGGATGCATGGATGCATGGATGCATGGATGCATGGATGCATGGATGCATGGATGCATGGATGCATGGATGCATGGATGCATGGATGCATGGATGCATGGATGCATGGATGCATGGGTGGGTGGGTGGATGGATGGATGGATGGATGGATGGATGGATGGATGGATGGATGGATGCATGGGTGGGTGGGTGGATGGATGGATGGATAGGTAGGCAAACAGGTAGATAGCATGCATGCACAGATGGATGCATTGATGGGTAGGCGGACTGCTGGATGGGTAGATAGATGGATGGTTTTGTATAGGATATGCGTGTATATTGATAGGGGTCCAGGCTCCGAGGTTGGTTCCATGCGGAAAGTTGCACCTCAACTCCCAGGGTGCAGGCGCTCTTCTCTCTTGGAATCGCCCTCATTCTTTCATGTGGCGGTCCGACTGCAGCTCCCTCAGTCGAGTTGTGTGGCTGATACTTTTGCGCCCCGCACCACATTCGATCAACAAGATCCACAAATCTTCTCACTCCTACACCTGGGTGCGGGGAGCTGCGGCAGTTTGAACGAGGTCTGTGTCTCTCCACAGGCACGTCCTACTGACCTCGATCCGCCGCACGGATGGTACCGACCATAGCCGTCGTAGTGAAAGACTGCTGTTGTATGTAACTGCTGCAATAGGTGCAATAGGTAGTACCTAGCAGGTGTTTTGTTTGTGGCAGCAAGTGTGAATTTGACTCTTGCAAATAATATCCTTTGCAATTGTCACCGGACCCGATCTTATCAGAGCCCTGGGCATCCATTCATTTGTTTAGCTGTATTCGCAAGCTCATTCCCTCCATTTCCAAGACTTTTGTGATTGCCTCCTGAGGGAGTTTTGCATGGCGAAGCTCGCGGTTTCAATGAGTGAAACGTTTCGGAGCGTAGCCATCCGTAGGGGCAGGGTGCTTCATGATCACCGAGCTCCCAAAGAACCTGTGCCAGCTGCACGAGGATGCGGAACTCGTTCTGCCTGGGCGGAATCCAGGGTTTGAAGTTTGCACTATAGATTTTTGTTTTAAAAAGTGGTCGGCCCAAGCTTGGATGCCACTCTTTGGATGGAAGCCTTCTCAACACTGCTAGGCTTCAGAATTTCTTGCTTAGGTGTCTGGAACTTTCCACTCCTTGGAGTAGCCTTTTGGTTCCTGCGGGTGGTGCCGCAGCAAGCATTGGAAGCAACACGTGTTGCTTGCTGGCTGCCTGGCTCGAATCAAACACATACGTATGCGTTAGTTGGAGCAACATTCACAGGAACTTCACTAGCCAGCGAATGCTCACAAGTACCGTGGTGGCGCTCCAGCAAAACAGGCCAAGCGCTCACACAAGGGGGGGTTGTGTGTTAGCGGCGAGCCTCTTCGGAAAAGGTTGGTGGACCCACGCCCGTAAATGTGCCATGGTGAAAACACATTGTTTACTTGGGAGTTGGGGGGCGGTCATGGACCCCTTGATAGTTGAGACAACCACTGCAAAGATTCCTAGGACGGAAGCCAGGACCAGGGCGCCATTAAGCGGCACATGGCGACACACTTGGTCCAGGAGCTTCTTCAGGGCTCGCGGCAATTCTTTGCGCTGCCCCTCGCTGAGAAGGAGCGCTGCGTCAGGCATAGGCCAACCTGAATAGCGGAAATTATCCAATGCCAGTTGGCCATTGGCTACTTGTTCGTGTTGTGCCTCTCTCGTGCTTGCGTGAACATTGTTTTTGTTGCGTGTTTAGATTAGCGTAGAAAGAAGCAACTTCTCTTGAGCGTTGCTTTCCAGGTCCCAGAACAGAACATAATCCCAACAAGCATGATTGGCATGTCCCAGAATCATTATTGCCAACACTGACCGAAGTGGAAGCCTTCACACATCATGCCAAAATATGCAAAAGCATAGCTTTCACTAGCCATGTACAAGTGCAAAGGTGTGAGTGCGGCTTGTTGTTGTGTTTGTTCTGCAAGAGATCATTTGCTGGCGTGTATTGTCCAATATGAACACGCACGCATAGACCAAATATGCATCAATGCCATTCAGTTTTGCGCAGAGAGATGTTTCGAGATGTGCAATCAGCCATAGGTTACTTGAGAGCCTCAAGTTTGCTGGAGTATATGTCGCCATTTCCAGAAGCAGAAGCAACGGCGTATTTGAGGTAGTTTGGATGCTCCGTCGGAAACAAACTACCTGTGGAGGCCACGTGCAGTATCACAAGCTGTAGCTCAAGGCACGGGCAATCCCTCGGACCACCGTGCATGTGATGTTTTTCTGAGTGGTTTGTCCGGGCCGCCTATGCTGTTGTGTCTTGAAACAGGCCGCGCCTAAAGTGGGGTTGGACATCCTTGAATACAGACACATTTCGGCATTGATGTTTGGAGCCGTGTCCCAGGAGAAGGTGGACTACCACCAGTCTCGCGAATTCCGGGGCTACATGCGCCAGGCGCGCTTTCACTTTCCGGCGCGGCTGCGTGACTCTTTGGGATTCAGAGAGCCCTCAGTTCCTTGTTTTGGTGCTGGTTTTGCTCTGAAATCACCTACAAACCCAAAAGTCCCCTTTTCCCGCGACCGCCACAGACCGATGCAGGTAGCGGGCAATAGGGTTCAACTCCGCTTTCAGTCAGCCCAACATGGCCTAGGTGTACGGAAATACCATGCACATGTCCCACATCTTGCCGCCGTCCTATGCGCCAGCATCAATGTCACATTCTTGGAAAGTGAACGGTTCTCATCATTTTCGCTTTGGTGCCAGTCCCCATCCCCGCCTAGGGTACAGAGAACACCGCCGGCCAAGTGGACTGGTTAGCGGCTTAGTTTGCAGTGCGGGTCCGATGATTGGTCTTCCTTTTTGTTGGTGGGTGGCACATACGGCCAGCTCAGATTTGCCAAGTAACTGTGTTAGTCTTTAGGGAGATGGGGAGCCACCCTGTGCCAAGAATGAACAAACTGGGGGCTCAAGGCTTAGGCACCGATTTTCCCATGTCCTCCATGTCCTGGAAATATAGGGTGGCCCCCGGGTGGAGAGGGAGAAGTTTCGTTCCAAGATGATCACCTTTGCATATACTGACCATGGGGGAAGCTATTTAAGCGCTGAACAGCGTAACCCACCATCTTCAGGTCTTGAATCGCTCTAGGCGAATTTTACCGAGCTCACCCAGGGGGGCGAGCTTCTTCACCCAGGAAAGTGTAGGGGATTTCCTTTTTTCCACTTTGAGTTATAGTTAGAATACTTTGTCCAGACGATCTCGACAGTTTGTTTTGCATTTGAAGTGCGCCATAGGCCTATTTTAATCGTGGGGGTATGTTAGCTCAGGCGGGAGCAGGTGGAGTTCGGTCGGGAGGAGCCCAGAAGACAGGCAGCGTGTTTGGCGCGTTGGCAACATGGGTATGGACGGGAAAAAACCAAGGGGTGTGGTTGAAAGTTGTGTACCCCCTCAAAAGAGTGGTTTGCTGTTTGGTTTCCCTTTGTAACAACCCCAAAAGAGTAGAGTTCGTGCCTTCAACGTAATGCATGCCAAGTCGTTGAAGGCCCCGTGTTCGTGGAGTTAGCTGTAATGTTTGTTTCAATGGCGAGGTTCTTCACCTAGCATCCCAAACCTGCCAGGACATGTCCCAGACTCGAAGATGCCAAGCTCCCGTACAAGCTTACCAGGACTTGTTTGCCACCCGGGGTACCTTCAGATATGCGTATCATGGACTCCCAACAACTGTTTGAGTCCCATGTTTGGTTTGCCGAGCGTGGCTGCAAAAACCCCTCCTAGACGTTCCGAGTTTGGTCGAGGACGCTGGCTCGGCAAGCGAAAGACTCCTGTAGCTTGAGGCTCGCTTTGCTACGTGCCCCGACATTATACGCTTATACAACTATACCTCTTTTCTTCCCGCTTGAGCGGAGTTCTGTTTACGGTCTGCGGGTTTCTTGCGCCTTTTTGTTTGTGTTTGGTGCCTGGTAGCTGCCAGCCTTTTGTGCGCCTGGTTGGGTGTGCCAAGCGCCTGGATTGTTTGTTTGCAAGTCAACTTAGGGGACTTAGGTGGAACTTAAGTCCCCCGTAAGCTCGCCGCGTGCCCCTTGTTTTGTATTGATAAATGTTACAGCAGGCTTTGGGAAAGCAGGCGGAAGTCTGTTTGCCGCCTCACAAGCCAAAGGCCGCGAAACCCACCAATTGAAAGGTCCATCCAAGTCTCGGCACATTCCCAATCACAGGCAAGCGATCATCTCTACAGCCGCCTAAGAGGCCGGAAGCCTTGGGCGGTTGAGAGGCGGGGCACAGGTCCTCGCAAGGTATGCAGACGTGCCGGTGTTGCGAAAGCTGCATACATGTAGGCTCGAACGCGCTTGACGGGCGAATCCGTGACGGAGACGAAAACGCAGCCCGAAAAAGCACATTGCAAAGTATTATAATATTAGCCAGCCAACAATCCAAGTCAGCCCAACATTGACCGGCAGTTACGCTGTCAGTGCCACACTTTGGGCCGCGCAGGTTTGCACTGTTGTTGTTTTTCTCTTGACGGTTGATGCAAATGACAGGGCTGCGCCTGAATGTATTGTCGACATGGAGACCTTGCCAACATTACACTGACAGCCGACCTTGCTGAACATGTGTTGCAAGTGACCGCAGCGAAGATGACTCTTGCCAAGTAAAGCAATGTGGTCTTGACAAGAGCAACGCATTACATGACTTAGTGAAGTGAAGCAGCAAAACTGGAATTGGAATGTCACTTGAGGCCACAAAGGATGCTACTTGGGTTTCCAATGCTAGCTCCAGACTTGGAATATGAGGCTGGTGCAATTATTTCCTTTCAGAAAGTCAGGGCGTTCTCGGAAAAATGGGAATCCCTTGTGTTTTATGGCTGACTCATCATTTTTTCCATAAGCCAGCTTCCCTCTGGGGCGGGGGGGGGGGGCGCAACCTAAGCAAGCCCGCGCAGGTCCCAACCAGTGGCCTTCGCAACCCAGCTCTCTGCGGCCCTTGGTGCTGTCCTGGCCGCGCCCAAAGCCGGAGGAGTTTGGGCTGGGTCGGTCTTAGTCTAGTTGAACAAGCCAAGCTTAAACACGCCCCAATGGAGCTATAGCCTGCGTCGTGCAGACGTTTGCCGAGTGTGCGTATCTCAAAGAGTCATTGAGTCATGGATGAACCAAGCGCTTTCTGGAAAACCTTTGTTCGCTTCCACAACTGAAGGGTTGATGATTGAGGAAGGGAGCGAGGGAAGGAGCCAGGGAGGGAGGGAGGAACAGAGGACATGCAATCACTGAGCTGTCCTTGGGATAGTGCTCAGCAGTTTTTGCCAGTATCAAGAGGTAGTCAAAGTCATTGGTTCAGCACGCTGGAAGCAACCTCAAACAACATACGTAGAGAGTGGCCTGTTTCCTTCTTGACTTTGCCCGCCGCCACATCGGGTAGGGCTCAGATAGCCAGTGTTTTGTTGTTTCCAAATTCTATTGTGGACACTGCAAGCCGGAAAGATATGTGGGTTGTCTTGCCATATCTTAATACTAGCCCGCGAGACCAACACATCCACCGAGGCTGGAGGAAATGGAGGACTCGATTCGGCAGCTCACCATGGGAGTTCATCAGCTCTTTTTTTTCAGTGGAGGCTGCAGAGCACTGTTTCTTGCGTCTCGCACGGAACGAAACTATACTTACTCAGATGAAGACTCAAGGGCCGTTGTCGTATATGCCTTGATTGCTGCAACACAATCCAATGCGATGCCCTACAACTGTTGACCATACCAGCTTTCTTGTGGGTTTGTGGTTTGGAGGCTGCACATGTTCAAGTGCAGTTCTTTCCGCGTGCAGTTCGGAAGGCGCTTACACATAGGGCTACGTGTTGTGCATCCTTCTATGTTTGCTTCTGAACACAAAGTGCACGCGATTTGCGGTATTTTGCATGTCCAATCTTGGAAGATGTTATGTTTATTTGGGAACCCTGTGTGGGAGCAAGATCAGTCTTAAAGGCCCTCCTTTTGGGTCTTCATGATCATCCAAATGAAGCCGCAGTTGGCGTTGCCTTCGGTCCTTGATTTTGCCCACATGCAGCATTTGCTGAAATCACATGTTGAACGCGCAGCTCTGATGAACCCAACAATGTGTTTGATGTGTCAAAAGGAGGCAAAAACTATACTGTAGGTGGCGCGTCCGAGATTGCCGGGGTTCTGCTGCTGCAAGCCTGAAGATTGCTTAGACGGATTAGTCACTTTTTTGTGTTGGAGGAATACAAAGAAGGGTGTTCTTCCTTGCTCGTGTTTCAATCAAACAGTGCTAAGTGTTTTAGCAGCTTCTCCTGTGAGTAGGTTTAGCTGGAATCGTAGGGCTGTAGAAAGAAGCCACAGAACCCTTTTTCACCATTCTCCCGTGCAGGCCCCCTGTGGCATCATGTATGACATGAGTTATTTCAAGCTACATCTTTGAGTTGTCCAATGGTTTTCCCCAAAGCAGCAATGCATGTGGACGATGGAGCCACAAGTGATCATCAAATATGAGTTCTTGAATACACATGGCTTTGTAAAAGGCCAGAACTTATCATTTGATTTGTTCAGAGTACAGGAATCTATGCCACATGCATATTACATTGGCATGGCATCTACCTGAAAGAGCCCTCCAGAGACAATACCCGTTTGTCCAAAGCGAATCAAGCGGATAGCAACCCAAGGAGGTTTCGCCCGGACAAGAAAATCACAGCAGCACCCCCAATGTAAGGCTCCCTTAAAAATGAACTGCCTCTTTTGAGCGCTTTTGGCAGGGTACAGTTTTCTCAGTTGAGGCTTCCACTTGCTACCGTAGTACAGTCAGGCAACCAAGGGTTTCTTCTGATGGTCCTCTATAGCAGTTGAACCCTCCATACGGTGCCTACAAATCAATAAGTGGAGGGCGGGCCGGAGCGGAAGGCGGCGGAGGTAGAATCTGATTCCTATTTAATCCGCTTGTTTAAAGTGTCAGGGCGGGCTCGGGTCGTGGCCATCAGAGGTAGTATGGAACGCCAGCTTTTCTTGGCTCCGCTTGTTTAACTCAGCCCCTCCAACTTGTGAGGCCTCCAAGTCTTGAAGGCCTGGGTCTGCTGTTTTTGTTGCTTGTGAAGATGACACTGCTTTGAGAGTCTGAGTCATCGCCGATTGCCTACATCTAAGCCAAGCATGCACTCCATGTACTGCTCGCCAGCAAAGAGATGTCGGACAAAGAGTATCCCGGCAATAAAGGTCTTTCAATCCGTGACCCTCCACCACATTTCAAGGGTCCAAGTTTCAAGCCCCTCGGCCCGAATTTCAAGCCCCCACATCTCAAGGGCCCAGACAGAATCCACACAGCTCAGGGGTTCTTTCAGGGTCCACAGTGAGGTTCTACGGGGTTTGGATCCTCACCCCTACCTGCTTGTTCAACGTCGATTGCAGGGTCCGCTTTGAAGTGTCCTTGCTTGTCCACACTTTTTAGGTTCCACATTTCTCCAGGTATGCACATATCAGGCTTGACAGTAGGCCCACATTTCAGGGTCTTGTCGTCCACGTTTCAGGGTTCCACACATTTGTTTCTATTCCTGACTTTTCACCCCCTGTTTGTTTGAGGTTCGCTTGTTCAAATGGCTGGGCGGCCCCGAAAAATTATAGCGGGGTAGTGTAATATATATATATATATATATGTTTATTCCGTATGTTTAGAATGATTGGGCGGGCCAGGGGCAGGCTTCAGAGAGGTGGTGTAAAGTATCTGTCTGACCAGTTCAATAATCCGTATATTTATTTTTTGGCGCTGGAGCAGTACTACCGCCTCGTACTTGCTGTAACCCAGGTATCCCAGGACTTTGACCATCAGTCCTTCCAGAGTCATCTTCTGTCCTAGGAGGTTTCCCCAAATTTCTTGGTTTGGAAACTGAAATTAGGTGTTTGCCTGAGCGCAGCTGTCATGTAGTGAGGGTGTAACCGCAGGCTTGTACTCCAATTTCCTGGGAAGCCATACCGTACTCTGGGCTACATGGCTCTTGCATGGGTCGCGTCCGCAGGGTCCTCACTTCCAGTTCGTATTGTGGGGTCGGCTTCAATTCCTCGGGGAACCACCGTTTGCCAAGAGAAAGAAGGGTACAATGGTCAGGAGCTGTCCCGCAAGCTCACCAGGGCGCTATCCGTATCCCTAGGACCGGCTTACGGGTTTGCTCGCTCGCGGGGCCTGGCCAAAGGAAACCAAAATAGGAATAGGTGGGAAACGGATAGATACATGTTGACTTACCACTTTCTGTAAGTGGGACCCCTGAAAAGTGACAAAGTCATGAGGAAACGGCCTTTGGCTAAATGTCAGCGAATTTCCAGCAGTGAGGGGGGCGCTCTTAGGGGCTTGGGCTTGGCTGAGTTTGCAAGCCAAGCGGCTTACAGTGGTTTAGTTGCCTGCCTCCATTCCGCAGAAAGGCGCCCAGTCTTTGGATGCTTTTGCTTTCAGTGCCAGTGAGCCACCCCAAGCTTGGCGATGGAAAGGGCCCACAAGTCCCTCCTCCGCAAGGAGTGGGTCACCATGCGCGTTAGGATTGGAACCTGAATGGAAATCCAAGAATCCACAGTAAAAGCGGAATAATTTCACTTCCGCAGTAAAAATATAGCTTCTTGCACCACTTGTTCATTGTTCCTGGGTTTTAATATTTTTGTGCCAGCACTTTTTGCCAGAAGCTCAGATTGAACAATGTGAAATGTGCATCCCTCAAAGGATAGCCGTGTTTCGCCGCTTATGATGGTATAAGCTGTTGAAAAGGGGCCGATGCTTTGAGACTCGAACTGCATATGGGTCCACGAATTGAGGTTAGTTGATTGCATGCACATGCGGCTGTGCCCCTTTGCAGTGAAGACGGGGCGGCCCCTGTGTGTTTTCCTTGGGCTGCACATTCAACTGTCCTTGTTTTGGGGGACTCCGCTTGCGTTTCTTCTTGAGTTGGGGTGGGATTTTTCGCCAGGTTTGTCGGAAACTTCCCTGGACGGCTACTTCCAGCAGCCGCACGTGCAGGCGGCGACTCATGTGGGGCTCGTGGTCAATACACGTGGTTGAGCTTGGATTCAGCCTGGTGGATGAAGCTGGATGGATGCCAGATGGTACAGTAATGGTTTGCTTGGTTATAGCCTTGTCACGGATTGCGTCCACTTGAGGAGTGCTTTTCCAGGACACACAGCAAAATAGAACAAATCCTGGGTTCCTATTTCTTGCGATTGGTGGGGTCGTCATCAAGGACCATTGTAAGGGTTCGTCCATGACCCTGAGCAGTTTTCAACTCTGACGGCCCCCACCGAGGCCGTTTGCAAATGGCTATGATTCCATCACCGTCAGGCAAAGATCGTGCACTACCCACCTTCCAACGGAGGCGCAACCGCATTGCTAGTTGCACATGACGGCAGCACCTGAAGACTCATTGTATTATATGGTCTGGTGGATATGGTTGATGTTGTTTGGGCTCGGGCAGGGTATGAACATTTGGATCAGTTTGGACTTTTTATTCGGCCTGTGTTGTTTGGCAGGGTCATATATGAGGCGATATTGGTGACCCGCTCGGATCCAGCACCACAAGTTCGCAATGTTTAGCATGCTTACACTTCTGCTGATCAAGCTGAAACCCAAAACCCTCCTTTAAGGCAATCGCAATGGTCTTTTGGGTAGCCACTGTTTGGTCGCACTGTAATCTGCAGGGAAGTAGCTGTTTTTATCGTCTTGTTGCACATGCAGAGTATATTTGTTTGATGAATCTGTTTGGGGTCAAACCGAGTTCAACATGATGAAGGTTCTTTCCTTGTTGGATTCCTTACTTCAACTTTTTATGACATTTGCAGATGAGGGCCGCGGTCATGTTTTGACCATTTCTTTATTGCGGGTGCGGCTGTGATCAGCCAGGCTACAGGAACGCTACAACTACCTGGAACACATTGGGGGTGACACAAACAGGTGTTAGCTCTTTTGGGGACCCATTTTGGTGTCATGATGTGCCGTTTTTAGCACCATGCAACATTGTAGCGGTCAAGGGCTACTGCTGGTGGGGATGGACACAGGTTGTTGGAGTCTAGTTGTTTGGGCATGAAGATTGCTCATGGGGCACGGGTGTTACGGGAAAGTACTCCCAGAAAGAGTCAACCCAAAAATGCAAAAGCACCTCAAGCAGGCTTACTTATGGGAGTCGGATGATTCAACTAGCAATGCCGTGTTAACCTCTCAGGAAACCCTTTCCCCGCACCAGCACTTCCAATTAAGAAACGATCTTCAGACCATCCAACGCAGGTTGCAAAGTGTGTAGGCCCACAGCCGGTGCTCTGGCAGGCGGCTTGGGTGTGGGCGCACACGCCGACTCGGGCTTCCTCACCTTGCTGTGGCAGGCTGTGGCACGTTTCTGCCGGAAGAATATGAGGCAACCCGGAGAAGGGATGGGTTTGTGCCAAAACCAAGGCTCCGGGATCTTTCAGGTGGGCAGGTTTCTTGGAGTTACCTGTTCAAGCCATCCCAACAGAGGGTGCTGTGCGCGATTCCACCGAAGGCTTTTGTTACTTCCATCTCAACTTTGCCTGGGTGCAATACTCTTTGCCTTGTCGATCCTGCACAGGCGATGCTGGGCAGCAATCCCTCACAGTGAAAAGAGCAAGCCGCGAACTCACCATCTTATTGTTTCCTACTGACAAGTACAAAAATTACTACTCCCCACATCGTGTTCTGGCTTCTTTGCACTATCCATGGCAACTTTAATACAGAATCGGGTCAGGGAGTAACGACGTGACTTCAGTACATTCCAGAATTAGCATGAAGTTGTACAGGAACCCGGTCCAACTGACCAGCTGCTTTGGATATGGGTTGTGTAGGTTTTCCGTACAGCACGGTTTCACAGTGGTGATGCCAGTTGCCTTTATTGATTCCCAGCTTGCTGCCAGTTGTTTTTTTTTGCTGCCTTTGGGGTACACAAAGTGGAATCAGGCCACAATCTGATATGAACAATATCATTAGCCCATATCATCCCCATGGCCCAGTGCCATTGTCATCACGGTTTTTGTTTTTTTGACTGACAATGGCTTGCATGACCCCGAAGGATCCTGGTTCAAAGGGACCCTTCAGGATGGGAGATGGGACCCCTGACAAAGAGCTCTTAACGAGAGCATAGTCAGACCCCACTTGAGCGTTACACCCTGCTGCGATTGCAGGAGATTGGGAGGGGTGGACAATCTGGGGCTTTGACACAACGAACCAACAAACCACAATGGGACAATGGGCTTCCAACAAAGGTCTTTGTTGGCCGTTGGTAGGAGTCAACTTATCATCGTACTTACCGCATTTGCGCACCTGACCTCATTGGGATCATTTGCTGCTTTCAGGTGGATGGCATCCAATTGAGCAGCGCCATAAACCCTGACAATACAAAGTAGTAAAGGGGGGTGTCCTGTAGAATCCCCGCGAAAGCCAAAACGCAGGCCGCGAAAGCTGGCGAAAGCTTATCGCGAAAGTAACCAAAGAAGGTCCCGCCGCGAAAGACCCGCGAAAGCCTGCATGCTGTGTGGCAGTCCGCCGCGAAAGCGTCGCGAAAGCAATTCTAAAGAAAACAAAGCTCGCGAAAGCAAAACATGGGGTCGCGAAAGCATTGCGAAAGGGTCGGCGAAAGCAAGTTCATAGGACCGCTTTTTACACAAGAGTATTTGGCACGGCTCAATTGTCTTGGTTAATGCCCAGACTTGGCTGCGTTGAGTTTCAAGAACAAGCTGTTGTGCGGCGAAGCCCCTGGCCTTGGCAGGTTGACACTGTCTCAAGTCTTAAGTAGCCTTACATTTTATGTGCCATGATCAGCTTTGCGCCAAGCCAACACGGTCTGCCTCCAACAATCAGTGGAAGCGCCACTCGGTCGTCCCTGCGCGAGAGGATGAGGCAGGGGGGCTGGAGTTCCTGGACGCCCAGGGCTGCCAGGACGCTTAGGGCAGAGGAGTGGTATAGTAGGGCCAGGGCCACGGATTCTGGACAGAGATTTATGAACACCATGGGCCATGTCCTGGAGTATCCAATGGTTCTGTGATTTAGATTGGATTGACAGTGCCCCAAAGCCCACTTTTGCTTATTTAGCCCCGCACAAGGCCTCAGGATTTCCCAACGGGCCGAAGCCTGTTTGGGCGCTCCGTTTTTTGTTTTTGAGGGACAACTATTTGTTGGGTGTTTTACGGGCAAATCAGAGGAAAGAAGCTAATTTTGAGGAGCGCCAAATTTGGGGTTCCACCTGGATGTCAAAGCCTCGCCAAAAACCTTGCACACGTTGGTGCAGTTGTATAACATGTCCGAGTCAGAAACTTCCAGTCAAGTCAAATCGTGCTTCTTTCTTTGTTGTGCACATGCTGTAAGGCCTCAAAAGCTGTGGTCTGCTTCTGACACTGACATAGCCAGCCGTGTTGGTCGGTTTCCAGGCTTTCTTGTCTAGACTTGGCAATAGTCATGAGCTTGTCCACCTTAAGTGCGAAGCAATGCTTAGGAGGTCGGTTTTAGCTGTTTCAAACACATGTTGTTGTTCATCGCAATACAGCAGCACAAGCTTTAGCGCAATTATCACGACAACTAACTCCACAAAACGAAAGCGACACAGTTCGACTTCGTCGCAGCAATGGTGTTGAACCGCTGAAGGAACAACAAGTAATGGTAGCAACAGCAACAGCAAGCAAGACAGCAGCTTTCAGGAAGTCAAGTCACATTCCCAAGTATGGATTACTGCACAAGAGAGCTTGGTCGTCGACATGTCAATGTGTTTTTGGTGTTCATGCGTTTGCTTGAACCAGCAAGTGTGTGAGTGTGAGTGTGTGTGTGTGTGTGTGGTGTGTGTGTGTGTGTGTGTGTGTGTTTGGTGTTTTTTTCCCTGACCCTTCGCAGGACATCTCAAAAGCTTGGTTTTTCCAATGGGTCCCCTGGGCGCTATACTGGAAGGCTCGGACTCAAACGCCCAACTGTGGCAGTGTGGCAGAGCGCCTTTCATCCCTCACGAGACTGTATTTCTGCTCACAAACCCTCCAAAGTGCTCAGAAATGTGGGACGTTGTCCGACGAGTGTTCTTGCCGTTTTGCACTTGCAGCATTTGAGACATGTTTGCCCTCCACTGGAATCATGGTAGGCGAAAACTATTTGAATCCTAGGTTTGGGGTCGAGCAGTGACCGCTCTCGTTTTGCCGAGGTTGGATCCCGGCTTTGCCCATCCCAGCATCGATGGTATGCAACCTAGGGGAGGCGCGGCATAGACCGTTTTCTTGAGGAAAGAGGGTGCCATGCGCGGACCTAACTTGGAGGTAGTGCGGAAACCGTCGCTCCCCCCCCCCCCCCGACTGCCTACAATGAAAATAGTTCCCCTTGTGGTAGACTTTCAGCGGAAAAAAACAATATGTTTGTTCTTTGGGGCTACGGCGGTGTCCACCTCGGTCCCCATCGACGCCCATGTCCAGTCACAAAGCCCGTCAACGACACAATGCTATATCCAAAGAATCCTGCAGCGCATTTGCTTCGTGTATCCGAAAACTCAATTGAAAGTTCAAAGTGTGATTCATGAATAAAACTGTTTTGCAGTGTCCAGCAGATCGGGATCAAGCAGATCAAGGCCAGATAGGGTCCGCTAAAATCGACAGCAGCCAGGATGCTTTTGCCGGGTGCCATGCTAGGTTTCAGGAGTGCGTGCAAGATCATTAGATTCTCATTGGTTGCTCAGGTTGCATGTCGTGCACTAGTGACATGATGTCCTGTGAAGCGCTTACCAACTGCAGGTGTTCTGAAACGACCGGCAATGTGATGCCTGCCTGAAGCAGGTTGCTTTCAATCACGGTAGATGGGAAAATCACGGACAATGCCGTATGTGTCTTGGCGAATCATTCTGGATAGATGTGTTTCTGAGCAACATGTAGTGACCTTACAACATTCTTGTGACCTCACCCATCACTTGGTTGGCTAAGTATTTGATTCACCAGCCGGGCATTCATTAAGTTCGAGCTATATTCCTCGGCCACTTGCAGCAAGCACCTAAACGTCTGTCTTTGCACGGTCTGAACGGGTTGCCGACAGGCATGTGTGCTTCAGGACATTCAGGCTGCGTTTCGCAACTGGTGGCTGGTAACGGGCATTGACCATTCTGGGCTCTTCCGTCAGCGAAAGCACTTTTTCCCTGGGCCGCAGTCGCCATGGTTTCAAAGGGGAACTAGCAAGAATCTGTCGCATTTTTGGCAGCCGTCCTCTAGCCCATTTGCCCTGCCTTTCAAACGAGAGCTCCAAGAAGCATCTCTAGGGGTCCCTGGCCGATTTGTTTGGGCTTGGTCTTCACAATGCAACATCTTCGGGGGGCGGGGGGGGGGGGGGCTTCATTTGACGATTTCTGTGGCAGGTGGTGCAGCTGCTCACGGGAGGGGTGTACCCTGCTACGGTGCCGAGCCGGCAATGGTCGCGAGTCAAGTCGGGGGGATGCCGGTCGCGCAGCCCTGGCTTTGTGTTTGATTAAAGGTTGGCGCTTCCGTCCAGCAGGTTTTCTTCCAGCCCTTGTTTGGCCAACCGCCGTTCTGTTTAAGGATCCTTGTTTCTTGTAGTTGTGCGTGATATTGTTGTGTTATTGGCCAACTTGTTTAAACCGTTGCTTTGTCCAGGCATTGGAGTTTGTGCCGGGGCTGGTGAAACTAAGGTTCCCTGGTGCCCATTGGCAGTGGCAGGGAGGGCAGTAACACAAAGGCTCCGAACCCTGGCCTTCTTGAGAGAGGAAAGAAAAAACACCTCTTCGGTATGTAAAGGCAGGTCTCTAGATGATCAGAGGTCGAAAGTTTGGAGGAGATTAGCATCCTGCATCGAAGGGCCGATTGATACATAGTCAGCCCCTTATGGGACCCTGGTGCCGCTTTCCGCCTTTACAAAGGATACCAAAGCGGCCCATAATTTGGACAGCCCTCAAGATTTAGCTTGCGGAAACATGGATGAACTAACCCATTGTTTCCCACTGCCGTGCCGAAGCTGATTGCTGGGGGTTCAAGGGCATGAACCGCAGCGCCAACGCTTAAACCTGGCTACGTGCAGAGTGGTGTGGGACGTTTCCAATCACGAACAAGAGCGACCACGTTTATAAATCCTCACATGGTTTTGGGCGAAGTCCTTCCATGCAGCTTTTGAAAGTCCATTTTCGAGGGCCACGTTCCCCCAGCTTGTGTGCTACACTTCAAACAACAGCGGGCTATCATTTCCCTGTTTTCCGCAGTTGAAGCTCGACGCCCTATTCAGTTGAGCGAAGACTGCAACCTGCGCATGTAAGTCATGTGCATACTCTCTATATGAGAAATATATGTTATTTCATAGACAGCTAGTCAGTTTAAGCAATGCTGCTTGAACTAGCCTTGACTCCACGTCGCCCCTTGCTTTTCCAGGTCCTTTCCGTTGACGCGGGGCATCTGGCCACTCAACGAAGTGGCTCCGCTGTGTCGAGGTGCACCGGGTGCTGCGGCCAGGAGTGCGGGCCACAGGGAGTCAGGGTGCCATGTTTTGATGTAGACTTGAATGCAGGCTGAGTACGTTTCCCCCCCCAAGAAAAATCAGAGGACCGACGGGCGAAAGTCGTACCTGATTGATCAAAAGCTCCAAGGCTTTCCTGGAGACTGGCCTCCCCACGTCGGCGCTGTATTCGGGAAATATCGATCGAGTTTCAGGGTTCAAGTTTGGTCACTGCGTCGGCAACTGGAGCGATGTGATCAATTACGATGCGCGACCTGCTTTCTTGAGGACTCTATAATCCCAAAATATTGCCGCTGGTGATGACTCGTGCCAAGAGCGTCCATGCACTGTTTTGCTTTGCGAACTCGAATATCAGCAAATGATAACTGAAGCACTTCTTACCAGTGCAAACTTTGATATTTTTAGATATTGCGGACAAAATCAGTCCCTCAGCCAAGGCCACATTGAGATCTTTGTTGTTAACCTCAGAAGGACAAGATGCCTTGTACATAAGGATTTTGCCCAGCACATCGAATCGCAATTGACGACTAACTCGTAAAGTTGGAATGGCAACGATCCGGGATCTCTCGGATTTAATTGTGATTTGATGCTGAAAGCCAGATGCTCACTCCAGCCAGCCGTCCCCATGCCATCACACAACAGGCGTCCAGAGACCTCGACGTGGTAGCCAATTTGGAAGTGGCCACCAGCGACCTTGCGAGCCTTGGCTCGTTTTCGCTCTTCTTTGTTCAGCTCAGCAAGTATAGCCACGCCCCCTTTCGTCGCTTCCCAGTCCTTTTCAAGGACATCTCGTGACTGTGAGTCCGTCATCTCTCCCTGCGTCAAGATGCGAACATGGTCTGAGTGTGTTCACCAAAGAGCCTTCCATTTGTTGTTTTGCATGTGTGTGTGTGTGTGTTGCCGTGTTTTTTTGTTGGCATGCTCTTGAATCTATTCCGTTGTTCAGGGGTTGCCTTTTCCTTCATATTTAACCGTTGGTCTCCGCTTAACTGTAACCAACGGAGCGCGCCCTTATAAAGTTTGTCATGGAACGCAAAGTGTGGAAGAGTTTGCCGAACCTTGCTCCGTGACTGGAGTCGAGTAATCACTAGAGACTTTGCTTTTGCTCAGGCGGCGGGACGTGTTTCCCTGCCGTACTTTTGGAATCCTTCGTTGGACGTGGAGGCGGGGTGGATCTTGTGTCGCACATTAAGATACCGATCTAAAATTGGAGAAACCATTGGTTACCAATGCAAACTTGCGATGAATCCAAAGAGACATACTAATCAGGGGAACCTGCGATGAATAGCTTACTATGTAAGCAGGACTTGGCCCTCCGGAAAGATACCAAGTTGAAGTTAATATTGACTATTGCAAAGCTGCTTGGAGGGCAAACCAATTTGAGGACAAACACAAGCCTTTTCCGCAGCCTTGGCTGTGGCTTTGTGTCCGCTGGTGCAGAATTCACTTGAGGATTTTTTCAGATAGAGATGGCGCCTTTGGATCGTTGGTAAGAGGCAAGCAAAAGTCTGTCCGTGGTTCTACCAAGCTTTGTCTTTTGGCCAATGGCACCTTCACCTGACGTTAGATGCGGATTTGGCCGGGTTGAGAGAGCCTGTCTCAAATTGCATAATCAGTCGGCAGAATTAGCAGTCTCTGGGGTTCTGTCATTGCTTCCACTTGGAAGGCTTCATTGCTGGGCTTTGGAATGACTCACGCATGTTTCCATGGCTGCACATTACAGAAAGAGTGCGTGTGTGTGTGTGTACTTAGGAGCTTGGTTCTATTTGTTCAACCCCTCTGGCTGAGCAAGCAGCGGACGTTCAGGCAATTTATGCCTTACTTAGCTTTCAATGCAATATCCAGACGATCCAGTCACTGCTTTGGCATTTGGGCCACCAATGATCTTGAATGTCGACTCCATTGGCTGCCTTCGGGCAAGCTTTGGCTTGAATCAGGTTCCCTGAAAATGCTTGGGAGGCGGGTGAGGAAATCTGCGCACACTGACCAGCCTTACCTCGCAAGCATGTAGTGGGCATTGTACACGACATGTTCAGGGAGGATACATTTGCAGTCTAAAGGAGTATGACGTGCGCTTTGGGGATCCCTTTGTCAATGACAGTTTGTGTGACCGACCCAAGTGCTTGCTCTTGAAGCCAGTAGTCTGGGAAAATGGCACATGCCGGTAAGGAGCAGAAGTCATCTATTTCACGGTTGGATCACAATGTCATTGGTTGGTTTTGCCGGTGCTCTTTGCTTATGGCTTTCCCCAGAAAAACTTGAATCCCTTGCAGAGACCCCAGCCCAACACTTTCTCCTGCCTCCTGATGTTCGGTTCGCAGGGTGGCTTCCCGAGCTGGGCATTCGGTGTTCATTTCGTCAGAAGCAAAATGGGCTTGTCTTCAAACAGGGAACCTGTCAACATGGATAGATCCCTTTCAGTTCCCTTTGAAACAGTCCCAAAGAAAGACCCTTTACAAACAATGCGAAACTGCCCCGTTGTGCTTGAATAAGCAAAGCATCAGAGGGGTCAAGAAGAAAATCACAGCCAAATCTGCGGGGTCCCCGAACTGATCTTGAAAGAGTCGGGATCTGGGGCTCTACCTGTAGGCTCTAAAAAAGTCCCTTTACATGCCAAGCAAGAGTTGTGTCATGGGAAGGTACCGTGCAAGCAAAACCCTGCACGGCATAAGCCGGCATATCCATTTTGTGTGGAAATATGTTGCGTAGGCACCCGCGTAAGCTCCAACTGCTTGCAAAGACTCCAACTGCTTGCAAAGATAAACACAAGGGTTGCCGCACAGCAGATTCAGCAAAACGGCGCCCGCACGCGCGCAAGGTTTGCGCACGCTCGCCCAGCACGGCTGCCCGCTCGCCCATGCCGTTGGCCAACTCCAAATCGCAGAGCAAGCAGGACCCGAAAATGAACAGCAGCGCCAAGTTGATGCGCCTGAGAGCAATCCTTCATCCACTTCCCTCAGAATTCTCTCCGTTATTTTGAACAGCCGCATAAGCAGTTGTTGAAGGCAAAGGCTCAAATGCGGACGCGAAAGCAACGCAAATGCCAGACATGTTCGCAGACTGCTGTGCAAACTAAAACATGGGCCCCGTAAGAAAAGCGCTTGCTCGCGCATAAGCACCTTCCACCACATGAGGCCTGGTTGGGGCCTACCTAGCTCGTTGTCAGCTGTAAAAAAGTACGTAGATCGTTTGGTGTCCTTATTCAGTCATTGCCCCAGCCAGGTTGACGGTTGGTTCTGAGGTTTCCGCCGCGCCAGCAGTAGAAGTTCTATGACGATGGCAGTAGGATGCAATTGATTATTTCGCACAACGATGCCACATGCTGGCTGTTCTAGATGAAACCAAAAAAGAAATCATCATGCAGACACGTACAAAAGTCAAAATGTATATGTGGGTACTATTGTGTGTACATATATATATATATATATTGTATTCTACACATAAACACAACTATAAACTGGTATACAATCAAAGGAAGAACAGCAGCACTACTAGTTCATACGTATGACTGGCATGTAACATAGTTATTATTTCTCATTCGCTTCTCCTGTTTGCCCCATGTGTTGTGTTCCCAATGTTTTTTATCCCATTTTTGTCCCAGGGCCCATCTTTTCCCATGGGTCCCAGTGCTTCCTTGCCGACTTCAGGATCTCCTCCGGTTCGGTTGTGGTTGTCGCCCCAAGGTTCGCCCCTTGGAGCTGGGTGCGCTGCCCGCGCAGCTCTTGGGGAGGCCGGGGCCGCTCGGTCACTTGCCAATCCTTCGAGGCGGGCGATTTACCGATCCATTGCAAAAGGTTTTCCATGAATGGCTCATGAAGCCAGGGTCACTGATCACCCACCAATCACCAGAGGCGCCCAAGGACCAAGGATTCTGTGTGTTTTATGGGCAAGCTCGACGATTTTGGGAGGAAATGAGCTTTCCATGATGTTGGTCCTTTATTTGGGAATCCAAATCTTATTGCAGGTCTTAGGAATTAGAACATTTAACGGTGACTGCTGGATTTTACTTAACAATCATGGGTTTAGGAGGGCGAGGGGTACAAATTTGGCTAACAGCGTATGTTTTGTTGTTTGTCCGTGGTGGTAGCTGTGCTTTCCACTCGAAGGAAACGATGAGGGGATGGATGTTTGTTTGTTTGGTTGGGTGTTTCTTTCAGATTCTTTCAGGAAAATACATGTTTTTGGGAATTGTTGTAAAGCTGCGACATGAACGGCGAGGCCCCGGCGGGCGCATGCAAAGTTCGAGCAACAGAGGCAATACGTTGACTCCCTTGGAGAAGCGCTGGACGCTAACAAGGTTTCCTCCTACCTACGATTGGTTCCCAGGAGGGTCGGTGTCAGTGCCCCATTTAGTGGAAACACTGACTTAGGCATTGAATGCAAAACGGCGACCCCCGGAGCTTCTGATAGCATGTCCACGCTGTATCACGGCTGATATGGCCAGTGTAATTTATTTCGGGTGTTCTCGCACGAAACTGCGTCGCATGGTCATTGTTAATGTTTGAAGATCCAGGGAAAGCCCACAAAGCCCTCCATGGATGGTTTCCCGCTGGTTTCGCTTTGAAACGCCTAAACCAGGCTCCTTAGTAAAAGATACACCCCTCCCACATATTGTTGTGTGATTGTCCGGAAGAGTGTTGTTTGGCCGAAGCATCTTGCACGCATGGCATTTTAGCTTGGGATTTTTGTCACTGCCACAAGGCCCAAGGAGTCCGAAAACAAGATGCTACCGCCCGGCCCCAAGGCCAACGCCATTTTGGGCTGTGCTTCCTCGTTTGGTCGGAGAGCTTGCTGCATTTGGCATACCTTTAGGGGTTCTCATGCTCCACATGGAGTGCATTTCCGGCTTCCCTGGGTCTGCTGTTTTGGCGCACTGCTTTGAGAGTCTGAGTCATCGCCGATTGCCTACTTAACATGCACTCCATGCACTGCTCGCCAACAAAAGATGTCAGACAACAAGTATCCCGCCAATATAGCTGATCTTGCCTCAGATGAGACGGAATCAACATTGTCATGAAGCAAATATCCATGAGCGGGCAGTAGCCTTGCTTACAGCCCCCGTTGCAAATCGCATGGACATTCATAGGGGACTCGCAAAATAAACAGCAGCAAAGTAACTGATAATAACAACAAGACATGAATGCAATTGTCAAAAGTCCTCGAGCTTATAGTTTGTCTTCTGTGTGCAGCTAAGGAGATAACTGAGACACAAGGGCAACGCTGAATATGCGCGTAGGTGTCCAATGGGCAAACGTCTCGCTCAAACGGAAGGAGCCCAGGAAAGAGACTTATGGGTTGGACCAAAGGGAACAGCAACAAATCGTAGCTCTTGTCTCGAGGTTCAGCAATTCCCGATTGGCCAAAGAACTCCCGCAGCTGAGCTTTGTCCGCATCCGAGGTGTTTGGATATTGCAGACCTGGCCCTGTTCAAACGTTAAATTACCCCGGATGCAGTCAACGCGATCGGTAGCCTCAATAAGCACCGGAGTTCCTAGAGAGGCCTCCTAGTTATGATGGTGACAAAGAGGTGATGTTGGCTTCTCAGTGGGCATCCTATTTGGCAAAATGTGGCACAATGTTTATCTCACAAATTGTCAGATCGCGCTCAGGTCCTACGGAATGCCGCCCCTGCCAAGTTTCATGGCAGTACCCAATTTCCGCAGGAAAACTAGGCAGATTACATGGATGTTTGGCAAGGAACATTGTCCAGCGCCTGTTGGCATTTTGCTCTTTCATATGTAGGGGGTCGGATAGGCGCAGTGCGCTGGGGGACGTCAATCGAGCTGAGTTGTTGTGAATGAATAAGGGATCGTGCCTTTTGGAGGCCGGCCCGCGTCAGTCTGATTGTGTGCCGTGGTTTGAAGGGGTCTCCAAATAGGCCATCATGTTGACACACCCCTCGCCCCGGTAGCGCTAGCGGCATGTTGTTCCCATCAGAAGGGGGTACACCTTGTATGTCTAGATCACTCAAGCCTCTCGTTTATTTGCGAGCTCATCCTGGCAATGCATGCAGCATACGACAACGTCCAGACCTATAAAGCTATTTGCTAGCGTGTCATTTGTATCGGGAGCCGATTCGGGTGAGAGCCGGAAGGATTCTGCTACGTTTGCTCGTTATGGGAAAGATGAAGACCAACAGCCCAGACCCATTACTGCACCAAACATATTGATATAGAGTTGTACCTGTGCGTTTGCTTGGTTCAAAGGACAAGGATCCCGCCACAATGTCTGCTTTTGAGACAGCACCTGGGGTCTTGGACATGGGGAAAAGCAGAGGGTGGGCTGAAAAGACGAGGACACAGCCTTGGAAGGGTCACTGGAGTACATCCGATCTGTGCGCCAGGAACGCCTTCAAAAGTTTGGCGCGGAGCCACCCGGAGGTTTTCGCCAGGCCTGGTTTGGGTGGGTCGAGGTCCTGGTTGGGTTACTGGAAATTGTGTTTGGTTCGTTCCAAGTTGGTTAGGACATTGGATCCAAATTTGGTTGGTCAAGTTGGTCCCCCTCAAACGGCCAGGTTGGTTGGCCCGACATTTGGACTGACCAAGAAGGCTACTGGATATTGGATGTGGATGTCAGGAAAGAACGAAGGCTAAGGTATCCGGGTATGGACGTGGGTATAGCTATCCAACAACAGGCCACCCTCCCGGCAACAATCACGGAAGCAGACGGCAGGGTGTAATTGCCAAAAATGCTTGGCAAACTAAACCACAAACATGTGTGTGTGTGTGTGCCGGGTGCCGGACCTTCTGGGCTCATGCAGGCTGATTTACGAATCCTAAGAGGATCGGTCTCAGTTGATCAAAGGCTTAAAAGCCGATCTCCCTTTATAGGGGCAACCATACAATGGGCGGGTTTCCTGTTGATCTCCCTTTATAAGCTACCTGGACTCTCTTTCCTCAAAACCACCCACACACACACACACACCTCTGAGAGAAAGCGATGCGCCGCACTGGGTGCCAAACAACACGTTCATGATGTTCAATTTTATGTAACATGAAGCTTCCTTCCAGGACCCACAACAACAAGGGAGAAAAATGATTTACGCGCACACACACACACACACACACACACACACACACACACACACACACACACACACACACACACACACACACACACACACACACACACACACACACACACACACACACACACACACACACACACACACACACAGACACACACACACACACACACACACACACACACACACACACACACACACACCACACCACGCACGCACGCACGCACACACGCACGCACACACGCACGCACGCACACACACACACACACACACACACACACACACACACACACACACACACACACACACACACACACACACACACACACAAAAACAAACACACACACACAAACAAACACACACACACACACACACACAAACACAAAAACACACACACACACACACACAAAACACAAAACACACACACACACACCCACACCCACACGCGCACACGCGCACGCGCACGCGCACGCGCGCACGCGCACGCGCACGCGCACGCGCACGCACACGCACACGCACACGCACACGCACACGCACACGCACACGCACACGCACACGCACACGCACACGCACACGCACACACACACACACACCCGCGCGCGCACACACACACACACACACCCCTGCCACCCCCGCTCTGCCCCACGTATTTCAAATCATCACACAAGTTCCCTTCAGCCATGGATGGACCCACCTTTCAGGCACCATCCGGATTTGGCTTGCCTGCCGGACGGGGAGGTGGTGTACAAGAGACGCGGCCTTGGAACGTGGAAACCACCGGTTCACTTGGACAGGGGTGTCTCCAAAGTGGCGAGTGCTGAATACGCCTGACACTTGAGGTTTCCAAAAAGATAACCGAACAGAAGATGCGCAATTGTTACAGTTTAACTTTTCAGACTTTCTATTTGCCATTGAGTAGGGAACCCCTGTTTGGACAGTTTCAAGTAAACTACACTAGCTTGAGGTGCCCCTAATTTGGAGATGTAACCAGATGACCTGGAAGGAATTACCAAGCAGTTCGTCCCCCCAACCAACCTCCTGTCAACCCCCTTTAAGATCCTTTAAGGCTAAACTAGCGCAACTTACAGTTTTAGCCATATCCAGCCGGCCATCCCAGCAAATTGCTTGAGAAGACACGTGACCAGGCTTAAGGGGCACCCTTCCAGCCAACTGAAAGAAGGGGACCGGGCAGCAATATGTCCTGATTTCAAGCAACAGAAACCCAGGGTCAGCCAATTGAATTGCCTGCAATTAAGAACGACCAGCTTCAGCCAGGATCCTAGGTATTTCCAGGTTCTGGGGCATTTTTGTTCGGCAAGCGAGCTGCCGCGTGTGTTGTAGAATGGCTCGGGTTGTTTCAGGTGATTTGAATACCCCCCCAGCAACATTTTCAGCGAGGGATGTTTTTTTGCTTTGAATTCTCTGGGGAGCTCCTGCAAGCGGCCAGTGCTGTCTATTTGAATCTTGCTCCATGGCTTGGAGCAAGACGGCACCCTCAAATGATTGTCAACGGAAGGCGGTGCCTTAAACTGCAATCAGGGATGTGATTTTCTCTTGAGTCTCTGTGCTGCTTGCTCCGTGGACGCTTGCTTCCGTGTGTGCTTGCGTGGCTTTGCCACGTGCACCTACTAGTAGTTTTGTATGTGTTCCTGAGCGTTACCAATGCCATCAAGCAGCCAGCTATCCACAACACGAGTTCAAGCGCACGGCCAGGCATTTCGACTCGCCCATGTCGATGAAGCGGTCGTCAGGTTCTCTGTGACGCCGCCGATGACGTTGCACCAGCAGTTTCAGTGCCGGTGCCGTCGTTGCAGCTGCACAAGGTAAACCAAAGCCCTGATCCGCCTGAGTACAGTATTGTTTTGTCCGTTCTTTGTTTGTAGAGAGAGAGAGAGAGAGTAAAGCTTCTGGCAAACAACACTATTATCGATATGAGTGTTACAGTGCTTCTTTCGATGCGTAGATGTTTGTTTTCAAGGGTGGGTTTGCCAGTTTGAGACCGGACCATTTTATAACAGGTCAGGAAAAGCAACAAGAAGGTAGTCTCAGCTAGCATGAGGATTTAGAGGATCCCTGCACCCTTTGGAGCGAACTAAGGAAGGCTTGCCTCGAGTGGCTTACAGTACAGTATTCATGCCTCTAGGAAGGTGCACGTAACCCAGTTTGTGAATGCTCCATGAACAAGGAGATCGAGGTTGTGGGTACCACCTTTTCGATTCGAATTCACGTACGTATGGTGACAGAGAAGCGCCATGTGGTAGGCGTGAACGCGCACCTTCCACAAGGGGCTAGAATCTAGAAGCTTCTTAAGCCACGATAAAGTTTGAGGCAATTGTCGCATTTGGCGGGAGACTTGCAATTTTGCAGTGCGCGTGGCCTCACGATGAGTCAAAGGGGTATTGCGTACGCAAATACACCACGCACGCACCCGTGCGCACGCATCCACCATGTTCCGCATGCTCAGACATCTTAGACCATTGAGAAGCAAAAATAGACCTTCAGCCACAAGGTGGGTGTCATTCAGCCGACGGTGTAGTTTTTTCCCGGATCTATACTGGTAGTGTGCGTGTGTGTGTTGTGATCACCCGCTTTAAGCCAATCAAATGCCTTGTCTTTCTCCTCGCCATACAATTGGAGCCGGCAGTGATCAGCGGTTCGGCACCGGAGAAGTGGGCTGTCCTGTCAGCTGCCATGAGTCGCAGATGTCAGATGTGCCGTGCCAAGCATCGCGGTGTGGTGAAGAAACAGTGCTTCCACGTGATGTTGGGGATGGATCAGTTTCAGCAGTCGGAAACCGGAAGCCCTTTGCTTCGGACAATCCAGGTCGATCAGCTGACACTGTAGAGTACCCAGTGTCACGCATCGAAACAACCCAGCGAGTGTCTCCAATCTTTTCTGCCTCAATGAATGAGTTGCAGCTGATACTTGCCATGTCCAAATGAGTTGGTCCTTGGTGTAGACGTTGGTAAATCGAAAACAGCAGGTTAAACGAAGAGGGTAGAGACCCGAAGTGGTTGCAATCTTTGCGGAGTTGCCCGCTGAATCAATGTCCTTTTGCATACAAGCATTTGCCTTTGCATGTTTTGCAAGATGGAGTTTGGCGTCCGTCAGTAGACGCTGTGTTTTGTTCTTAGTTCAGCATGAATCTACGTTGGGTCAAGAAGGTCACACTTTCAACTGGGCTTGGATGCGGCCTTCTTGTTTGTTGCCAGCGGATTTAGCCCAGGTGTTCAATGATCAGATGTTTGGTGTTACTGTTGTCGTGTCTCCTTCCATCTGAAATGACTGCAACAGTGAATGCATTGCTGACTCTCACTTTCCCAGTTTCCGGGCTTCAAGCGTTCTTGGGAAGATCATTACTGAAACATATATTGTTTACTTTGTTTGATCAATGCAAGCAGGTGAGGAGATACTGTGTGGTCTGATGTGCTTTCGGCTTGCAAAGGTGAGTCTTGTCACCAGCATAAACATTACCATTGGTGAAACAAATCCTACGTATGCGCACAGAGCCTTATTGATGGTGTTGCCCGGGCTGCATCGTCAGCATGAAAGCCCTGAATATGGCCACTAATGATGCGCGTACACATTTTCTTTTAAATGTCACTAAGGTGCCCAGTCTGACTCACGGTCATGCAACAAATCATCGCGGGCCGCCCGATAGTTGCCCCACTTGGTACTTGCTCCTGCTTTCTTTTGCCATGGTTCTGGGCGACATCACTAACACGCGGCTTCAGAGGACAGCGAAGCATTTGGTAGCGGGATGTCTTGTGCAGCGTCTGACAAGATGGGGATCCCTAAAATGCCCACACGTCCTTGTGAACATCGGTTAATTGATTGTTTAATACTTTGTGTGTCGCCTTCTCAGCATCAAATCGCGGTTTCAACTTTACTTCTCCCCATCGGGCCGGCTGAGACGCCCCTCCGCTTTTTGCAAATAGCGATCCACATGCCCGTTTGTCGGAAGTGCTTTGCCTTGGGAAAGATGAGAGTCCACGACTTGTCCTCCTGGCGACACTCTCAGCTTTCGCGTTTGTTTTACTCCAGGACTCCTGGCAAGCCAAAGCCCGCTCAGGCTCGCTGGTGGTCCTTTCCTGCCTTTCTCCGGGAGGGTGCAATGCAACCTCGGATTCGTAAACCTCAACCCGATACATCCTTTGACCACATATATAGTGCTAGTGCATGTTGAAGGGTTTGTTTCGTCGCGTCCTGTCTAGAGAGAGGACTTTGGGGTCTCACAATAGAACAGGCACGCGACAAGAAACAGAGCCCAACTTCGACTCGGACTCCGACCATTTTATTTAGCATGGTTCATTCCAACGACCCCAATGTTGGTGCATCCTTGACCTGCACAGGTGCCACTGAGATTTCCGAGAGCATGAGAAACGTTTAGTTATTTTGTTGAATAATGTGTTTGTCGTTTTGGAATTCAGGAGTCCAGGGCTGTCCGCATGTGAAACTGGGTATTCTGGTGTTAGATATGTACAGTAAGTTGCGGCTCGCCTCACTTGTCTACAAGACAAAGGCAATTGGATCTATTGGATGTCACTGCCGCATTTTGTCTTATCGCACAGAAGCCTGCATTGCGCGGAATCAAGGCATGACGTTACTAGGGACCCCCTTTCTATTGAGGAGACTTTGCCTTCCTTGAGTGAATCCACAATTGCTCAGGGTGAAAAATGCTTCTACCAGCTGAGCAGCCCTCTGGCATGTGTTGGGGGGGGGGTTGTGGGAAACCAACTTGGACGTCTAGTTTGAGTTAGGCGGTTTGTTTTTGACTTGGCACAACAATATGCATTCGGACGACACTTTTGCCCGGCCAACTGATCAAGCACCCTTTCGGCAAAATCCGAGGGCTACCTGAGTGTTGCTTGAGGGCTAGCCTGAGCATCAGTCTGGCGATCGAGATGTTGAGGAGATTCCTGGGCTGAGATAGTTGGGGTATCCTTGGATTGCAGTGCAGCGGGATACTCTTTAGGGCTTTGAAGAAGCGGAGTGATCAGGCTAGCCCTGGGCAATGTGTGATTTGGGACACCTAGGCTAGCCCTGACCAATGTTTGGTGCCTGTCTAGGGCGTGGATTCTCATCCCAACTCAGGGCTATTGCTGGCACAATCTGGGCGTTCTGCGCTTGGCCCGTTCAACCGGCAAGATTCGATATTCTACAAACGGAGTAATTCCCTGCTTCAAAGAAACGGACAAGATGATCAGGACTGCCAAGAGATGATTATCAACAAGACAAAGAGCATGAATGCTGACAAGCGCTGATACTTGTTGCGTCCTCGTTTCCCTAAACCTTATTTAATACAGTGGCCTTGGATAAACATGTTTGAAGCCAGCGGTTGATCTGTTTGACGTGCCGGCAGCTTGGCAGGTGTATGTGTTCCGAGAGGAGGGCGAGAAGGCTCTTTGATTCGGCGCGATGAGTCGGGCCAGAAGAATCCGGGAGGTGGTTGCCGCTGCCATGTTTGATATGAGCGACTGCCTTTATTTAAAGCTAGAGTGGATGTGTCTGAAAATAAACCTCAAAGTGGTAGGTGTCCTCTTCATTCCACTTTTGAAATCCATCCAAAAGGAGGGGTCCCCCTTTTGGGACACGCCCTGTATGTCAGTCATTTGTCACGAATCAGTCGCGAACAATCATCTTGTGGCTACTTCCTCTAAGCTTGTGGCTACCCTGCTCTGCATGACCAGTGTTGGGGCAATCTTTGCTGGGGTGCAGTTACATTTTGCATGTTTTGCTGAGCAGAACAAGAGAGTGTACATTTTGCTATTGACCCCAACTCTAATCATAATCGAGTTTGCCACACGCCGACGCGATTTGTAGGCTGCCTGGGCCAACGCCCTCCATGAGCAGGAGCAGCGATTGGAGGCGCCTCCATCAGCGCAAGAGCTTGTCGTGCTGTTTGACACAGGCACCTATGCACTTGCTGTCTAGCATGTCTCTAAGAGGTTGACTGACAATCCTTACCAAACCCAAGTAAAAGGGTGCTTTGTCCCCTTCATCAGTTGCCATTTGCTGGAAACGTGTTGACATGTTGCTGAGGTGCGCTATCTCTTGTCCCTGCTGTTTCTTTCCGCACTGTATGTCAACATGCATCTTATGTTGCCACATATTGATTCGTCGATTTGTCATTGTCGTCACCGAGAACAGTCGCGTTGTTGGTTTCCTGGCTGAATGTCCGATGTCTGTTGTCCTGTCTTGCTGAATGGCTTTTGTTTGCCGCTCGTGCCAATACATCGACCTGAAGGAAGTTGTTGGTTTGCAGCCATTTTGGTTCATGGCCTGAAACCGCCTGAATCAACGCGGAGCGACCTTTTGCTGACAGGGCAGCGGAAACGTGAACATCGTTCATCTTCTCTGGATGCCATTATGTTTCGTCGAAGCACAGTTTCATCTCCCCCCTTTCCGCAAAAGGTTCATGTTTGTTCACCAAGCGCCATGTATACTCAATACTGACTCGGGGTCAACCTTTGGCTTCCAGGATCAACGGGGAATGTTCCCTGTTCCAACAGGACGCCGTGTTCGCCGCGTTGCAAGGGGCTCTGTTAGGCTCTGTTAAACAAGCAACCCTTTGCGGGTTGCCCAAGTGGGCCGGCCCATAGGCTAAGGGCCCCTGGGATGAAAAACCCGCCGCTTGCGCCAACTCCCGCCAGGGCGAAGGCCGGAGCAGTCAGGTTAGAAGTAGCACCCTTTTGACCAACGCACATCGCCTATTCATGTGCCGCAAGGATTCGCGCTGTGGCGCGGCCCACATGCAAGATGTTTCTTAGTAGGACCCCCTCGTCCTCGGATGCGCCCAAGAAAAAGCATCCCAAGATGTGGACGGCTCATCGTGGAGCACATGACAAGATTGCAAGGCATGCGCGAGGTTTAAGGGACTGCCGCAGGCCGGGCAATCCTCCCATTGATGTGCATCAACACGGATGACAAGACCAAAGGGGATCCTGGCCGACACTCTAGCCAAAAGCCAAGCACGAGTATAGAGCCAAGTGCTCTTACTCCAGTGGGCCTGCGTGAGTGTCATCCACATCCCGTTTTCGCACGGAGTGAAAAGCCAAACAGGCACGACAAGCGAGGCAACTTGTTGCTGGGCCGAGGCCTGCTCTGCTGCGTCGACAGCTGGCAGTACCACAAGTCTCTTCCAGGTTCTGATTGCACATTTGTCCCCGGCAACGAAAGCGCGGTTCCGAGAAAAGGTCAAGACGTCAAAGGTTCGTGCAATCTGGAGAACATCCAACAACTGCGCTGAGTGATCCAGCCAAGTTTCACCTGTGACCAACTGCGCCCTACGGATTGCAGGGTGGACGGGGTGCAGTAAGGATGCGGACTGCTACCTTGGCCGACAGTCGCCATTTCTGGTTTTATACCAAAGGCAAACGCACGCACCCACCTGCGCCCAGGGAGGTACCTTCGCATGTCAGTATGGCCTTCAAAGCCTTGTAGTGCGCGGCATTAAATCGCTTAGCACCGTTAGCCCAGCCCACAGCAGTACTAGCAAGCAGTTCACGCAAGCAGTTCACAGCCGTGGAGAACGCTGGCTGCTCTCTACCCAACAATCAACCTGAAGAAGGTGGTGAGGCGTCCCGGGGCGCTAATTACTGCCAGGTGAGAAGTTTCAGAGACAAGGCGAGCGCAAGTAGCTTCAAGGAATGATTGGAAGGACAAGTTCCTGTCAAGGGTGGGCCCCAAAAGTCCAAGGGACTGAACATGCTGAATGGGATCGCCTTCAAGAAGAGGGCACTCGCCGCCACATTGCGTCAACCAGCAAGAAACTTGCCCGTTTCTTACCACTCGCAAATCTATGGCGCCAAAGAAAGGGGAGTTTATCTAACGCCCGGCAAGTGCGGGTCAGGCCCCACATCGTCGTTTGAAAAAACAAACGCGTCATCCACGAATTGGATCACTGAAAGCGTATGCGCAGAAAGCACATCAATGGCCAACAAAGCGCTATCGCGTGAGAGCATGGCAATCCTGTCTTGGAAAGGGAAGAGTGTCAAACCAGGTCGCTCCTGAGCGACTACCCTGGCAACATCGGCAACGTCCACTCCCCTGCGCGGCAGGCCATTCGTTTGCACACGATCAACCAAGTGCGGCCCCCCAACAGCAACACCAATTGATCTTGTGGAAAGCTCGTGAGGCAGGCCACGCATCAAGGCTGATAATAAGTGCACAGCCCTCCGCCCCCCTTGGCCAAGGTGAAGGCCTACCGCGGCCCCAATAGCAATGAAAGTGGAATCAAAACGTCCACCTCCGTGACCCGCGCCAACACACCATTCAAGTTTTTCACGGCATCGGGCGGGCCAAGCCATGTCAAAGAGTGTTTGTAGGTCATCAGTGAAACTGATAGGTCGGGTGTTTTTCAATTCAGTAACGACCTGCGGCCCTCGCTTCCTGATGTTACAAATTTCCCGCATCCAGGCCGTGGGGACGACCGCAAGAGCAAGGAACAAGTTAAGAAACAAGTAACAAAGACGACGCCCCTCGTGGTTGCTTGCTACGGTGGCTGCTCGCGGAGAACGCAACGACGCCTTATTCGGGACTATGGCCTTGATCCACTCCGAGACTTCCACAAAGGTGAAAAATTCCAGAGGTTCAGCCGCTGCTTCGGCGCATGCCATCGTTCTTTCGTTACTGCATCATTGAACACTTCATCCCCGTCGCAGGCCTGCTCTGGGCGAGTCCGGACTTCATCCGTGAGGAGCTGCACTACAGCAGAGTCTGACAAAGAGAGGCCAGTGGAGTCGTCAAGCAGGCCCAGCCTCAAAGGCAGCTTGGGCCGCAAAAGGTTCGACAAAATGGCCTGCGCCTTGCCTGGGTTGACAGCATGAGTCGAAAGAAACCGGGCGACATTTGCCGCTCCGTCGGCCAACCTTAAGTCTGAACCTAGGTCTTCTGCTTCATCCGGCTCCTCGCGGATCTCGCGGAGTCCATGCCACTGCGACAGGAGCGACTCAAAAGGAACAGCAGCTTTATTAGGCTTGACTGTGACAGCCAAACCAGCCAAGTGCCCTGCAACACACAGGAATCTCGCAAGAATGTGTCTTGCAACGCGCAGGAAAATCAGAAGTTCACAAACTCATTTGCGCATGGAATTTTCACAGGCGCCTCAACCCAGGCCCCGCAGTGCGTTTGCCAACGAGTTCGGCCAACACTGTTCGTGGCATCTTGGTGTAAAGCGCCTAGGCCTGTGACAAGGAGCGCCCTGTGGTCACTACGAAGAGAAAATCCTTGACTGGGCAATACTTCAACATGCGGGTTCAACCCCCGGGCTGCTGAAGCAATAGTCAAGAACAGTCCCAGAGCTGTTAGTGGAAATGCCATCTGGATTGAAGGGAGCGGCGTTCATGCCAGAGCTGCGTATCAAAATGTTCAGAATGGCTCTGTCAACCGGTCGAGCCAACTCTCGATCCTTGCTGCAAACTGAATGCATGTGGAAGTCAAGGTCACCAATCATGGCCCATGGCAACTTGGAGAAACGTGTTGTGTTCCGAGGTTGCCGTAGCTCAGTGGCACGATCCTGGAAGAATTGCGCCCGCTCATGCGGTTCATGGTTTGGAGGCGGTGCGTACACAGCCAACAGCAAAGCAAAACAAGGAAACACCAACCCCAGAGCGGGCTGGAAGCACATGAGACCAGATTGCACGCTCATTCCCAACATCTTCCACTTGCAACACAGACGCAGCAAAATCTCTGAGCACATGAAGCGGGGGAGAAAACAAAAAACCAAAGAACAAACAAAAGAAACCAAGGGGGAAAACGTATTCATGAAAAACCCAAATGAGTTTGTCTTCAGGTGGCTGAACTCCTGAAAAGCGCGTCAGTTTTTTCCCCTTCACAATGCAACAAGGATGCCCCTCAAAAACGAAAGCCCCCAACTCACCCCCGCAACACTCGGGCAACACTTGCTTAAACAACCAGCCCCCGTCAATCAACTGGAGTTTGCTGAAATGATGGCTAAATCAGGCTCAATCAAGCGGTCAAGGCCGCAAGTGACATACCCCCATTGGGCTACTCATCCCGACCACACCGAATTCCCAATTTCGAGGCGCTGCGGGATCAGCTCAAGCCGCTGCGGGCACAAGTCAAGGCGAGGACCCGAAAGCCGGGGTTGCGAGTGGCGGTTTTTCCTTTGGAAAGGCCACTTTAAGGTAGAAGTTCCTTTGGAATCATTGCCTTTTGGACATCTTTTTGGTTAAAGGATATAAGAAGCAAGGGCAAGGGCACCTTATCAGAGACATGTAGATGGTTTCCGGACGCGCTTCACGTCTTGAGGGTTGCTGCACTCAGTGCCCAACTTTAGGTTTCCACCAAAGATATAATTAAGTTGCAAGCCTTGATGCCGATCAGAAAGCACATGGTGCAAAAGGGACCTCTTTCACTGATTCCGATTTCAGCTTTGGGGTACTCTGACAGTCTGATGTGTGCAGATTCATGTCTTGCTTGCAAACAGAGACCAGAAGCGCTGCAACTGAGGTGACTAGATGATTCACGTTCTGATCAAGACACCCATTTGGCTTACTCAAAATGGTCCGGACTCACTCGTCATAGAGGTGGTCAGCAACCCCGTGTCAACCCACATTAATTCCTGTAACTCCTGACAAAAAGGGACACTTACTCTTCTCTTCACCCAACACTAGCCCCACAACACCCAAGTAGGGTAGTTGTAATCAACCTACCCCATCGTCGAGCACTGCATACGTTGAAATCTGCGGAATTCAGCGTGGCGTGTCACTGTGTGCGTGCATGTCAAACTCTGCCTCGAGACTCAACCAGGTGTAGCAACCCGCAACAATCCCCTTTCGAAATGTTGTATTTTGCACCATTTAGATACAGCTGAACCGGCCCGTTTTGGAGTGATTTCCCTATGTGTGGTGTTGGGTCAAGTTCAAGTGAGCTTCCTTTTGGATGTTCAAAGGGGTAACATAGGGAGCCCTGTTGGACAGTTTTTGAAGGCACACCAGAAGGGCAGCGTAGCTGCTTTTCCTTCTGCCTAGGGAAATGGAGCGCCATTCCCAGCTTCTTTGGGAACATTCGCTTGTTTTCTGGAGACCAGCCAGACCAAGCGCCCTTTCGGCTCTTCGTCTCGAGGAGCTGCGCCGGAAGAAGGCGGAGGCGGAGCAGCAGATGGCCGTGAGGCAGAAGGAGCAGCGCCTCCACACCCAGGAGGGGAATGCCGGGTACATCTTGGAAGAACCGCCTCCAACTGCAAAGGGTTCCATATGAACCAGGTAAATTCAAAGGTGCATCACGGTGCATTGACGGGAGGCCGACCAGTTTGTGCACAGGCCCAAAGGTGATGACAATTCCCTGGGGGCAAACATTGGAAGAGCTGGGGCTGCTTGGCAGCCTTGGGCTTCTGCAGTTTCCCCCAAAGAGCGCAAAAACCTGTTATTTTCCGCAGTGTTTGCAAGGCCAAATCATAAAAACACCAAACGCGACGGTTTGCTTGGGTGTATTTCCCGTTTTCTTCGTTTTCGCACACAGGACGCGGAGCTCCGGATCTTCGAGCTCCACGAAGGCGGCGTGTGGACTGTTTCGGATTCACTCAGAATTCAATCGAACAGACATGGGTGTCCCACGCAAATCCAACTGGGTTTCACTTTGAAGGCTGCCTTCAAAGGGTACCGTCAAACAAAGACGCATTTGATCCCAAGATGGTTCCAACATGCTCTCAACATGGACAGAACGCATGGGTGGTCAAAGGGAGCCTCCGAGCATGGTGGTGTCTTTCCGATTTCATTATGTCGCCCCCCTTTCAAGGGAGATGTAGGTTTTAACAATGTTGTGCGTTTGTTATTCCGTTGTGTTGAAGGGTTTTGGCCAGGTCTCCCTTTTAACATGTTTGCTTTCCTTCCCCGTCTTAACGATGGCAAATGTGTACTTCCCCGGCATGTTGCTGCTTGTGGCCGTGGATGTGATGGGAATCAACAAATGCTGCAGGGATGGGAATCATCATTGAGCTAAGTATCACGGACCTGCCAGGGGTCTTTCGTGGTTGAGCCGGGCTCTCCAATAAATCATGATCCAAGGGAGCCAAAGAGAACCAAGGGCCCCCCTCCATTTGCAGGCTGAAGTGGTCCGTTGCCCTGAATGCGTCCATTTCGGATCTTGAGCTGGTTGCCCCTGGCACGATGCAATCATTTGGTCAAACATTTGTACCCAGGCCAATTGGTGAATGTGTACTTTGGTTTCTGCCTTCTTCAAACAAGACACACTCAATTCTGGTTTCCGTTGGTTCCCAGTGTTTGGTTTCTTTTTGTTGGTTTTGCCAAGGTTTCCCTTGTTTGTGTTTTTCCCCCTTGGGTTTTCCCTTACCCTAAGGACCCAAGTGCCCTTTGAGGATGCTTTTGCGTGGTTGAAAGGGGATGAAGTGCCTCCCCAAAAGGCACTTGACTTGGACCCTTGCGGTTTCTGGTTTCCGCGTGCACGTGACTGGAGCTTCGCTCGCAGGTGAGGCTGGTCTCTCGGCCCAGCTTCAGCTGCTCTTGGAGGAGCTTCGCCCGGAGGCGGCTGGACGGGTGCGCTCCGTAAAAGGGCTGGTATTGTTTGGTGTCGACGGGAAAGCACAGAGGAAATTCAGCTTTTTGGGGCTTGCTAATTTGCAGGACAATGCTTGTGACCGTGGAAGGGTTGATTCTTGTCTGGGGTTCATTCTTTTCGGTTGCATCCTGGTTTTCCCCTGTGTTATAATAAATTGCCGGAAAGAAGGATCCTTGGAAGGAATGGGGAAGTTGCCCCTAGAATAGAGGTTGATGCGCGGCGGACTTCGGCGTATTGAGCATCGTGTAATGCACAAAGAGGTGCATGAGGACAGCAGGTAACTGTTAGATGGGATTGCGCTAGCTCGGATGGTATGTGATCTTGCCGTGCAGAGCTGCGCCAGCCGACTCGAAAATGAAAGTGCAGCTTTGGCAACAGATAGCAATTCGGCCATGAACGCGTTGTACCACAAGACTTGACTGCTTGTTTTTGGCATGTGCCTGATGTTGCTATTCGAGAAGAGTATTAAGGACAAATGGCAGTAGGGATCGGCGAATCTTACATGTGAGCACATACCAAATTGACACCCAATGCTTCTTGCATCATCTCACCGAGTTCTTCGCAGCGAGAAGTCCCTATAAGGTCCCATGTATAGGGTCCCAGCTGTTACGTCATCCTTACAGCACAGAACCACGGAACACACAACATCCGCGCTGCACTTCCGGCACCTTGGCTTGCGCATTGATGGCCAGGAGCAGATGCAAGAGCGCCTCAACCAGGGGCTTCAGGCTAAGGAGATCTAAGCCGATTGAAGCCGATTCAATCTGACGTAAATCTGTGCAGCACCCGACACGTGCGTGGTCCCAAACCGAAGAAGCGTTTATGGCGGCCGGACTACCATCCCTTGGTTTTGCGTATCTTTCATGTTGGAGGAGTTTAAGAAGCCCTTCATGGACTGAAATTGCGGATCCCACACACGACTGCTTCACGGCAATCTTGCTTCAGCTGGACCACTGGATGTGTGGTCGGCATGTTTGCGCAAGGGGCGGGGCATTTGAAAAAGATCCATTGCGAATGAAGCTGAGTAGGGGAACAGTCCCGTCCAAAGTCAGATTTGCCCCTTTGATGCTTGACATGGTTTGGGTAGACCCCCGTACCAGTTCGGGTGTCCATTTGAGTGGGCAGATCAAATGTGTAATTGGCTGTTTGTGGCCGTCCGGACTTGCGGAATGAGATGGAGGCTTGGAGCTGCAGTTCCTCTATCCAATCATTGGCAATATCGTTTTGGTTGCTATTGCGGCAGGTCACCTGGAAATTGTCCTCTCCCCTGAAGAGTAACCTGGAACTTAGATTGTACATGGCCCTTGCTTACCTGCTTCAATGATTTGCCTAGAAGCACTAGTGAAGAGGATCATCTTTTAATTTCAAGGCAAGTTAGGTGGAAACCCTTCTCGACAGAAACCTGTTGCTTCAGATGAGTTTAACATGTTTGCGTTGGGGGTTATTTGTGTTTTGTTCGACCCACCTGTCTTGACCGGATTTCACCTTGCACTTCGCTGTTGTTTGTTCAGCACCATTGCATGAGCTCCTTCCCCCGCTTCCTTTCTCATTGGTTCCCGTACCTATATAAATTGAACCACCCAAAATCATCTCGTTTCCGCCCACTTGGGAATGGATGTGTTTTCAAATGTTGAGGGCCTGCAAAGGCGGTTTTCCATTGGCTTCCTGTAAAGCTGCCCCAACAACAGTACCCTCGACAACAGGCACACCCAAGTCTGCAGTTTGTTTGGTCCCGGTCAGTCTGCTAATATAAGAAGACATTTAACTCCTAGTATCTTAGTCGCAGAAGCCTGAGACTCAACTTGGTTCCGAAGTACCTAGAGAACGCATGGCCTGTGCAGCAGCCCCCCTTTTCCTCGTACACGCGCACAAATCCGGGCCACACTTTTTCGCAGGAGGCGGCGCTCATGGAGGATCGGAACAAGGTGGAAGAGCTGGTGGCCGAGAAGGCGTCGAAATTCAATGTGAACAGCGTCATCGCGCCCCACACCGGTTTGGAGTGATGCCTAAATCTTCATACCCATCGGAAGTAGAGCTAACAGTCATTGGTAGTTGGTCGCTGCTCAAAGCCTGGGCCCAAGCACCTACCAGAAGTGTTTTGAGCAATGTTGACTGTGGTGCACTGTCTATGACAACATGATCTTGGTCGAGCCATTGTCACAACGTATCAGAGGCAATCATTTAGACCTGCGACCAGGACAGTGTTATGGTCTTACGGTGCCTTTGGCATCGAACACATATCGGCGCAGCTCCACACAGGTGTTAGCGTCAGCCTTTGCAATTGCTGGATTCACGTATTTTCCGTCGAATCTGGGTACCTGATTTGGGGATGTCATTGTTTATGGAGCTAATCGCATCCATGATCATGATGCTGCTGGATGCACATTCAGACGAGCGTCTTCGTCGCAAATAGGGCCGTCTTAACCGAAGGCGTGGTAGTATTATGGTTCCTGTAAATGAGCGCACTTCACTTCCGCCAAGCAGAAAACATCTATCTCAACTCCAATGCTGTCGTCAGTCCCCAGTGCCTTGAGCATATGGTTCACGATCTATCTACTGCCGGCGCCACTTCGCAACTTGGGAAGTTCATCTCCAGGTTGCCCCCCTCCGCAAGGAGGTTTGCCACTGAGCACGGAATCCAAGCTGAGCTGCCCCAGCGCAGCAGAGCGCATGCTGTGTGTGTGTGTGTGACTTTGGCCAGACTTGATGGTCTTCCCCAATATGCCTGCCTGTCACGCGGCGCAGATCTTGTAACCAACCCAGGGCTTTGAGCCAGCTACAGGCTCATGATGCTTGTTCAGTGTAGGTTACCTACGCCATGCCCCCATGACCAAGTGGTCTTGTAAGCATTATTTTATCCTGTGCTGCTCCATCCCTGAACTGATTTTTGTTCAATTTAGCAGCCGCAGCGCCGCTAGATCGTCAGTGCTCGCAGGGGACAGATATACTTTCATCAGTTTATAAGGGTATCCCTGCGGACGCTGCAGCAGCTCTGGGGGCTACGTCCCTTTTTCTGCAACTCTCTCCAATCATCGTGAGCATTGCGTCGAACTGCTTGCTGCACGCTTCGGCCAGTTTTTGTACACAGCTGCACAGACAGCGCCAAGCATCAAAGGCAACGTCACGAGTCAGGGACCATCCCGAGGGCGCCGCTATTTTTACTCGTTGTGGTGGATACTCACATGAAAAAAGGGCGCTAAGTAATACTTGTTCCGATTGTTTACGCCCTTGTTGTGCTCATGTTTTCCCTTGTAAGGGTCGCGTGGAGGAGGCCGGGGGCTGTTCAACCAGGCTTGGATTGCTTTAGGCGCCTTGTTTCCCAAGGTTGGCTTAAAGCAGAACAAGAAGGAAATCCATTGAACTTTCCAACTTGTAACATGGGAGACATAATTACCCACACCAACCCACTCCCACCTGCGTCTCCCCCTCGGGCCAGGCCGCCCGGGAGGCGGAGGGCCACGCCAAGATCCGCCGCGCCTCTGCCTTGGCGGCGGGCGCCCACGCAGAGCGCGGGGCGCAGCGGCGCCGAAGCGAGGTCGGCGTGGAGCCTCCCCAGTGCTTCGTTTCAACGGCTCTCCCTGAGTTTCTGGACTTCACTCTTTGTAAAAGCATTTTGGTAAGCGATAGCACTGTTCTCAGTTGTTTTTTTCTTGAGACATAGAGCCACCAGAAGGTCCCTCGAGGAAAATGGCCGCGGGGTTGTTTTTTAATCGATTTGATTGGACTTTACTTTGCAGCGCTGACCATTGGCAGCTTCCTCCAGAATGCCTTCACCCTTCTTTTTCTGGGAAAGAGAGGGGCCCTCCGCAAGCCGGCGTTCTGCGCGTCTTTCGGGCTCTCTTCTTTTTCACGGGATTCAAAGGTGAGCCAGGAAGCGGTCTGTATCGCGCAGGTGCTGGCAGACAATCTGCCACGGGCCAGGGCGCTGCACAATAGCCGCTCGGCACCGCTGCTTCGTTTCCTTTGCGGCGTGCGGCACATGACACTTCCCTGGAACAGGTCACTGCGGGTTTTCCATCCAGTGTGTAAATGGTTGTTTCCCTTCATTGGCCATGGCAACTGGAAGCAATGGGCTTCATTCTTGACTCAAACAGAGTTGTGCAGCCAAAACCAGTGATCCAACAGCCAACGAGCCTTATTTGCAGAGGTCCAGAATGTTTCTGGGTCCCAGTGTGCGTCACTCCCGCAGACCCCATGCTTGGGCTGGTCATCACACACCGTTCCAGTTGGTTCCAAACCTTGTGTGAAGTTGCTTCTGTTTGTATTCTGACGAGGATGTCCCACAACCATAATAGAATTGGAACGCAGGCAGGCCTGTATTTATGCCGCCTTGCAGAAACAAGTATCATTATCTTTGGGCACGTACTGGTAGCTGAACGCCAATAGCCCGCCTTTGCAGAACCAAACATACCTTCTGATCAGACACATGCTGGAACGTTGTGGCATCTTGTGCTGGATTGTTGTATGGCCAAGGTACATGAACGTGTTGCAAAGTCAAGCATTTTCTCGGTAGTGCCTCAATATGTTATCATTTTTATGCTGCCCAAAGAAGCACTTACTTTAGGATAAGTGTTTGGTTCTAAGAATGTGGTGTTCAAGGGTTTCCGAGTAGCCGTTGGTCTTTGCGAAGGCTCAGACGCTCGAAGCCAAGGGATGAGAAGCAACCCGTGCGCACCGAGGTTACCTCAACCTCAAGGGTATCTTGGCTGAATCGACTTCTGCGTGTTGCTCTTTCCGGGTTGCATAGAGAGATTGTTGCGAATATCCACCCCCAAAACACTTCCTCGAAGGGAACACATGCTTCAAGAAGACGTCTAGAATGTGGTAAACCTATTGATGAGTTTTAGTCAAAGCAGTTGCCAACCTTACCGACGGGGGTAAAATGACCGAAAGCCCATGATGAAGGTCGGTAGTGGGGATGCCGCTATTCCATGTGGGAATCATTTGCCCAGAGTTCTAGTGGGATGGAGCCAAGAACAGCATGCGGTGTCATTCAATGTACGAGGCAGGGTTTGGACGATCGGCAGGTGCTTGACATAGCAACCCGATGATTAGCACGCTAAGTCACGCCGCGGCCATGTGTATTCAAGGAGCCCGCATAATTCTGAAAAACTGCCCCAGCGCCCACGCTGGAAAGCCCGCGGAAGGCTTTCACTGAGTTTCCCACGCTGAAGCTCCGAGGGCTAAGAAGACCAATCTTCGTGAGTGAAGGCCTGGCTCACAGGCTGGGATGCGCGGGTCAGGAAAGAAACTAAAGCGCATTGCAACATGGTGCAAAGGCAGCCTCGGAGTCACGCCCCGCGGAAGCCCTCCCGCTCCGAGGCCAGCGGTTGGTGGATCGTGCTGTAAAGCCATTTGAACTACGCACGCGACACAGATACTCGCAGACCCACAGAAGCCAAACATGTATGCGCGGAGGCAAAGGCAAGTCAAAGCTCGACACATTTGCGCAGAAGTCTGGAAGCATTTTGACGAGACGCGACCTCGCAAAAGGTACCTTGAAGCTCTTTCTGAGCACGGGAGCCTATGTATACACACTCGGATGGGCCAACAATCAGCTGTTCTCAGACGGGAATACTCCTGTTATTTAGGGTTGGATATTATTTGACTGTGTGCTGGTTGAGTCGCTTGTTGTTATCAACAAACTTTGATATGCTATTGTGTTGATCATGTTATTTGGATGCAGGCAACTCATGTTTGCCGACCGTGTTTGTGACTGCATGATGTTGTGTAGCTGGTTGGTTGGATTATGTTGCGCATTCGCCTGTGAGCAGTCCCAGGTGGAAACCGAAAACCTGATAGAGCCCCTCAGCTGCGGTGACGCGACGTCAGGCAATATTCGGGTCTTCTGCCGATTCCGGCCGCGGCTGCCCAATGAGGCAGAGGAGGCCAAGGCCCGTTCAGACCGTGGGACACCCTCTGGGGCAGCTAAGCGGTCACTAACTTTCGGAGTTTCCAGACTTTTCACTTTTGGGTAGACCATTGTAATTGGTTGTAAACAACAAGTTTCGATTGTTTGCTGGCCGGTTTACTCAGGAAGTGAGGCTTTCAAGCTAGGTTATAATTGACTTGCAACCCCCCAAACAAAGCTAACCCTGTTGGTATTGGTTTCATCTAGGTTGCCAACCACGGACAAACTGGGCTGACAATGAATCAAACCAGGATTAGGCTGAGCAGGCATCCAAAGCTATTGTTTTCGGAATCTTGTGTTGAGTCCTTTGAACAAACTAGCCATCGATTTGTTTTCCGGACGTCTTCAGGAGCTGAGCTGTCAAGGGGGGGGGCTTTTGCCCTTCCCTTTGATTGTAGAAGGGATTTGTGATTTCCGTGCGAGTCATGTTGATGATTTATCGCGGGACATGCGGCACTGCATGTCAAAGTTCCGGATGGCTGGTTTGCTTTAGGCTTTAAAGAGCTTACTCTTCCTTCAACAATCAATGGAAGGTGATCGTTCCGGGTTTGGAAGACTTCTTTCGGGGAAGCCCCCTGTCCGCTTCCATGATTAATGGACAACAAGATACCCAGAAAGCATCGAAGTGGGCTCAACCCGTTGTGCCGAAGCTGCTTCAGGTGGACTTCCATGGGGATGAGCAGAGCATCACCCTGCAATCTGAGATGCTGAAGAGCGTCACAGGCCGAACGGATGCAAGGGTCCAGGGTTGGGCTTCTTTCCCTCTTCAGCCAAGCCAGAAGGGAACCAACCACAACAGAAACAAGAGGGCAATCCAACGAAAACGGTTCCCCATTCCCTAGGCCCACTGGAAATGCCCCGTTTTATCAGCCGCTCATCAAGTGGCCCAAAGCAGCCAACTCATGAACGGCTCAATCGCTTTGCTATGTTTGGCCGATGATGTTCTAGGTTTGAACCCTCCACAAATTGGGGGCATTTGTTGCAAAGGGCGAACCCACCTGGAGAAGGGAGGTTCGCATTGGGAGTGGCCGACCCCTTTCAACGACAGCTTCACGTGTTCGAACTGCAGGGTCGCAGTGGGTTTTCAGAGGCAAGCAATCCCGCACAGAAACACGGCTAGTCGGGCACTTGGGCCAACAGCACCGAATGGCCCAAAGCTGATTCCTCAGTTCTCAATCTAGCTGGGGCTGCTCCAACTGGAAGCAAGCACTGCGCGAAAAGTTCAGGTGCCACTGATTCTTGCTTATTAACAACCCTGCCCGCACTCCCCGCCCCTTCAAGGTCGTCAAGGTCTGGAAAAATAGATGTTGGAGACCCCCCCCCCCCCTACTTCCTCTGTCCTCTTTGCTGCCTTGGCCAACAGGACTGCAAAAACGAGACTATGTTTCTTTTTTCCACTGCTGGAGAGGGCCATGATTAATCAGCGGGATGTTGTTAGGAGCCACTGGTGCTGAAGGGGGGGGCGGTAGCCTTTGTGATAGTGAACATTTGCTGTTTCTAGATAGCTGATCCTTTGGAGATCGGTTTTGGTTTTCGAACTGTGAAAGAAAGTAGCAGTGGGAGGTGTATTGGCAACAGCTTTTGTAACTTGGACTTGTATTTTTCAATCGTTGGATTTGCCGGGATGGGGGGGGGGTGAGGGGAAGGCTGAGGGGACTCGCGGGGGGCAGGTTGGCATGAATCTGGGTGGATTATTAATCCGGTCCCAACTTTAATGACACCTAATAGTATTTGATTTGTTGCTCTGTGACTTGTTTGCTCCTGTTTCTACGACCCACTAAATTGCAACACGCTTCTGACTTGCAGGGTACTCTTTGTCACTGTCCAATCATGGAAGTGGACAAGGAGCCTTTTCAAGAGGTACGTAGCCTTCCTGGTCCACTTCCATCATTGCAGGAAAGAGGGTACACCCACTGCCCCCGTCTGTGGCAAAACCCTTCTCTCCATGTCGGAGACATGGGAATGCAAAGGTTCAAAGGGCTAAACAATTCCACTCATGTTTCTACAATCATGACCAAACATAGTGTTTAAGAACCCCACAAACCTATATTTGTTTAGGCCCCTGTATATCTCCAGGCTTGTCTGAGCACTGCAACTCCTACGACTTCCACTTCGACCACATCTTCACCCCCCAAAGTTCGCAGGCCGAGGTCTTCGAGGAGTTGGCCATGTCGCTCGGCGCAGCCATGAAAAACCTGGGGACCAGATCAGTTTGGAGCTTTCAAGCTTACTTCTGCGGGTGATTTCCGGTTAAAGCACCAGTTCTGTATTGGGTAATTTGAGGATGTCAGTTGTGTTCAAGGAGAAACTGGAGCTGGACCCGGAGGATGTGTTTTTTTGGTTTTGTCATGTCGTGTTGTGCTTTTTTTGCAGCCTGTTCATGCTCTAGATATTACTCTGGGCGTTTACCCTCATGTGTCACACCATTGACAGGTTTGAGAAGGTCGATGCTGTGGACATAGCCGTGATACCCAATTGGAGCCCTCAATGGATCGATTCCTGCCAATGTCAAATCGGATCGCCCGGGCTCGTTCCAAATGACGGCTTCCCGCTTTGAACCAAGCAGAGTAGTAGTAAAGTGCTTGAGACTCGAATTCACAACGGGGTGTCGCCCATGAGTGCATGCCGGCTGCCATGCTTGTGCATGGAGCCAGGTTCCCTGGAACGAGTTGTCGCCATTTCAATCATTGCTCGTGCTTTTGATTCGAAGATCGTCTTAGTGTCCGCACTATTTGACCATGGAGCCTCATCCAGTCACTTGTTTTACTATGATCATGATCTACTATGTTTGGTTTCGTCGTGCTTGTCTTTTCCCTGTGCCAAGTACTGTAATCCAGCATGCTTGATTGCCAAAAAAGTGAAACCAGACCGCAAGCCCCTTCTGGTAAAACATCCATGTGCGCTGGAAAGTCCCATGAGCGTTGCAAGTTGCATGAGGCTGGTGCAGTCCGCCCGGGCGCCCAGGTCCGCAGGTTGGACCAAGTTGCTTCAATCGGCCAGACCATGGCCCCCCCTTAGAGGGAAACCAAAAGCAGGCTTTTCAATCAGTGGTTTTGGTTTCGATGTTGCGATGTTTTGGGCAACTGGGGGTTTGGGATCTCACGGATGGTGACTCAGGAGAGACATTAGGGATTCCGCAGCTGCAACAGCATGTTCTCTGAATCCCTATCGACAAAGCATCTTTTACGAAGGTTCTAAGAAGCTTTCCCAGTCCTAGGGGCGTGAGCGTTTTTATAGGAGGGCCATTTTTTAAGGATGTGTTTTTTTTGTTTTTTGTTTTGTTTTAAGGATTGTTTTCGGCTTCTTGGCTTTTGTGGCTTCCTCTGCATTCACAGTTCCTCTCTGTTTGGCTTTTCGGCTTCTTGTTGGGTTTGTGCGGCTTTTGGTGGCTTTGGTTTTTCGCATCCCTCAGCATCACCAGTTTCTCTCTGGTGCCCCTCACCAGCCCCTTTCAATTAAAATACACCCCTAATTGAATCATCACTGTTTCGATCATCATGGAGGGGCTTCCCCCCGTGTGCAGTTCTTCGAACATCATGGAAGGGCTGCCGTCCCCCCTGTCACACCAAGGTGCTACTCGCCCCCAACCCAGCCTACTTCTTAGATGTTTTGCCTCCAATTTGAATCATCACTTTTGCGATCATCATGGGCAGGGCTGCCGCCCCTCCCAACCCCCCCACTACTTTTTAGATGTTTTTGCCCCTAATGAATCATCACTTATTCGAACATCATCCCGCGCTACTTTTTTGCCCCTAATTCAATCATCACTCCCCTGGTCGTCGTGGGGGCTGCCAAAGGTCTTGGCATACGGTAGCACCAGGCAGGCGTCCCATCCCGAGCTCAAAACCAACCTCATCCGCAGCTAGCCCAAGTCCAAGTTTGCCCAATATCTCCTTCCAGTTGCCTTGGACCACACAAGTTGCCTGCCTGAAGCCTGCCCTGAGCCACAACCTGCTGGTGATGCTAAGGATGTTGGTGTGACACGACCTGCCTCCGCTTCTTTTTAGAATGGAGGGCCATTTTTTTAAGGTGTTTTTTTCGTTTTTTTTTAGGAATTATTTTTGTTTTTCAGGGTGGGTGGCTTTTCGGCTTTTTGGCTTTTGTGGCTTTTCATTTCGCATCCTCTGCATTCACAGTTCCTCTCTTTCCCGCTGGCTTTGGCTTTGGCTTTTCGCATCCTCTGCTTTCCCAGTTGGTTTTTGGCCTTGGCTTCCTGCATCCTCAGCATCGCAAGTTCCTCTCTGGTGCCCCCCGCCACCCTTGAATCATCACTTTTTCGATCATCATGCGACAGCTGCTTTTTACATTCTTTGGCTGCCGTTTTACAGGGATTAGTTTGCCCGTATTTGAAGCCTCACTTTTCCCACGAGGCCTTGGCGCAGAGGCACTGATGCCCCCCCCCCGCTGCTTTTTTGTAATAAATATTTTTGGCCCATTGAATCATCACTTTTTTTCAATCATCATCCCCCCCGACTTTTTGCCCCTGATTGAATCATCACTTTTTCAATCATCATGGGGGGAATTGCCCCCCCCCCCCCGCTACGTTTTAGGTGTTTTACAGGGGTTAGTTTTGGTACAAGTGAGGCCTTGCCGCAGAGGAACTGATGACCCCCCCGCTGCTTTTTAATATTTTTGTTGGCCCTAATTGAATCATCACTTTTTCAATCATCCCCCCGCTATTTTTTTTGACTTTTTGCCCCTAATTGAATCATCACTTTTTCGATCATCATGCGACCGCTACTTGATAGATTTTTTGCCCCTAATTGTTCGATCATCATGGGGGGGGCTGCCGCCCCCCCCAACCCCCCCAGTCTAAAAAATAGCGGGGGGGTTGGGCCGCCCCCCCCATGATGATCGAACAATTGGGGGCAAAGAATCTAAAAAGTAGCGGTCGCATGATGATCGAAAAGTGATGATTCAATTAGGGGCAAAAAGTCCAAACAATAGCGGGGGGGTTGGGGGGGGCGGCAGCCCCCCCCAAAAGTGATGATTCAATTAGGGCCAAAAAAATATTAAAATAGCAGCGGGGGGGTCATCAGTTCCTCTGCGGCAAGGCCTCATGGTACAAGTGAGGATTCAAATACGGGCAAACTAATCCCTGTAGATCGAACAAGTGATGATTCAATCAGGAGCAAAAAGTCTACAAAATAGCGAGGGGGTTGGGGGGGGGGCGGCAGCCCCCCCCATGATGACTGAACAATTAGGGGCAAAGGTGCTGATTCAATTAGGGGCACAAAGTCCACTGATTGAATCATCACTTTTTCGATCATCATGGGGGGGGCTGCCGCGCCCCCCAACCCCCGCACCTTTAATTGAATCATCACTTTTTCAATCATCATGGGGGGGGCTGCCCCCCGCCCAACCCCCCTGCTATTTTTGGACTTTTTGCCCCTAATTGAATCATCACTTTTTCGATCATCATGCGACCGCTACTTTTTAGATTCTTTGCCCCTAATTTTTTGATCATCATGGGGGGGCTGCCGCCCCCCTCAAGGGGGGCTGCCGCCCCAACCCCCCCCCCGCGCCTTTAATTGAATCCTCACTTTTACCATGAGATGCGGGAAGCCAATTTGCTGGTGATGCTGGGGATGTTGGCTGGACATGCGGGGGATGTTGAAAACGATGCTGATGATGTTGACGGGCTAGTGTAAAATACAGCATTTTATTAGTCAAGACGGAAAACAAAAAACAAAACCCAATAAAACACAAAAAATACAAAAAAACAAACTAAATCGCGACCCGTTTTTATAACAGCTTAAACGTTGGTCCAATGTGGGGCCTTTTTGGTATCGGATCCCTTCAGCTCCAGATGCTCTAAAACAGCAGGTTTCCTCAAAGCAACCCGCCGCATGTTGTTGAGGGTTCCGTGGCTAGCTGATATTGAAGCTCAAATTCTGAGACGAGTTTTGCTGGGGTCATTGCTTCATTTGTTTCTGAGGTTTGCCAAAGTCAGGAACAGGGGTTGTTCCCTTGAACCTACTTTCAGGGTCAATTTTCGAGCCCCTTTCAGGAGTTTCGGCAATAGTGACTGCACCAGGTCAAAGGATGCCACCACTGATATGCGCTCCTTTTGTAGGGACCACAATGCTTGACCGCCCAGAGATTCTATGACGCGCTTTACTTGTTCAGCCACACACTTTGATGTGCACACCTTGTTTAGGCGTGTTTCCTGCTAACACGGGTTGTTTTTGACAACATAATTTCCAATCTGGTGCCTTACTGTTATCATGTAATTACGCTTTCCCTCTTGGCCAGCGTTTTGTGTTTTGGACCTGAACAGGAGCGGTGCTGGTTGGTGAATATTTGTGCCAACCATGCCGCCTCAATAGAAGGGGCGAAAACAGGACACCCGCGATTATCTTGGGATCATGACAAGTTTGGTGTGAAA